TTGACGTGCCTCAGCTGCTGTTGTGGGAGCTAGACGTTGCTGCTCACTTGCATCTGCAGGTGAGGTGTCCGAGATCGGCTTCACAATGCCGAGGAGATAATTAGCCATTGGTGCAAAGTCACATTGACAAGCCGCCACCAAAGCGTCCCATTTGTCGTCAAGCCTGCACTTCACAAGACGCCAATAGAACAGATCAGCTGCTTCTCCAAACTTGACAACATTCTGGTGAAGATGCCATGCATATAAGTAATGGGGTATGCCAAGCGGAAGAACATCTCGTGCAGCCGGAAGCAAACCCTTGTCGCGGTCGCTGATGATGGATGCGTCGTCACGGTGCGGCCACTCCGGGAAGCTCTTCAAAAAGTTCTGCAGAAACCAACTCCACGAATCCTTGTTCTCTCCTTCGACCAAAGCCCACGCCAGCATTGTAATCTTCTGGTTGCCGTCCAGTACCACGGCAATCAAAAGGGTTGCGCGCTGTGCACTGATGAGGAACGTTCCGTCCAATGCAACAACGGGGCGGCAAAAACCAAGCGCACCGCGAGAAGCGGACGGCTGTATGTACATGCGGTTGAAACAGCCGTCGACCGTCTGAATCAAGAAGTTTCCATCCGGGTCTATCTCCCGGAACCTATCAGCCAACGCGGGGAGCAACCTGAACGACTCTTGCCAATCCCCGTACATCTCCTTCTGGATTTCTTCACGCAGCCGCCATGCCTGCTTGTAACTGATCTGGAACTTGTTGTGGGACGTGAGAATCTGCTGCAAAATCTTCGCCGAAATAAACGGTGCGCCACGAACAAGGATGCCCCAAAGCCGCTTCATGACCTTCACGCTGTTGGCGATGGCGTTTGCTCCTTGCTCTCGCTTGTACTTCTTGCAGACGTGTGATTCAGGAGGGGAGAGGGATGTCACCATCCAGAAGCCGCCATGAACAATCCTGCTGTAACTACACTCCCAGGGGCATATTGGCTTTTGTCCATACATGGCGGTTTTGCATTGGAGAATAACGTGCGCGTCCGCCACCTCCACAGTCGCGAATCCAAAACGATGATGCAACGCGTGGGCCTGCACAGCCTTGAGGGCCTTATCCCTCGAGGAGTAGATACCTCCTTGCCTCAATGGGGCATTATCCTTAGGAGCTTTTGGTCGGCCACGGGCTACGGGGGGAACGTTTCTCATTGCCTCTAGAATGTTATTCGCTAACCGCTCCGCGCGTTCCCTGGGTTCCGACATGGCAGCTATTGAGGAGAAAAACGTCCGTGGAGCACCTTATGGCTGAGCTTGGTACTTAGAAAGGGCCACCAAATCGGCCAGTGCAGTAAATACGAAATGGACACAACCGTGAGTAGATGACTGAACAACCATGATGGCCTCGTTATTTTCGCGCGAATGTGAATTCAAACGCGGGAAATTCAGTGCGATCGAATCGTTGCGATGTGGTCCTACTACACTGCTTCACGGGACGGTCGTCAGACCTCTACGGTGGCCCGTGAACTTTAAAAACTGAATGCGCGCAAAAATATGCGATATGAGCCGTTCGAGCTGTTATACGGGCCATCCGTGTGCTTGTTACGGGCCACACAGAAAGCGTTAGTGGCGGGAAATCTGCGCGCCCGTCAAACAAGTACTGTACTTCCGCGGTTGAGGGAAAATATCAGCGCAAAATGATTGTTCGCACTGTTCTGAACGTGTTTCCTGGGTGGCGTAATGATTATTCAGGGAAGTCAGTTGTATTTCTCGCCTGGGGCAGAAACCGTCTGTGATCGAAAAACTCGTAAAAACCTACAAAATGACTATTGATAGCGAAAACTGACCACGGGAATCGGGCGCGATCGCGTGGCAGGAGGCCTGTAAAAACCACTGCCCGTTGGAATTGAAGACGAGAAAGCACGGCGCTTCGTCATTCCCTCGAAATGAAAGCGAGGGCGAGGGGAGGGTCACGCTTGGGCGAACGGGTGCGATTCGATTTTCGCCGCGAGTTTACGCTACGCAGTAGTTGCAAAATAAAATGCATTTCGACACAAAAATCTTCACCCAGCAAGCACTAGATTTGCGCGTCATCATCGAAATCCGCGCCACCCACATCGTATGGCGCATCTGATCCCTTCTGAGTGAACGCCGACGCCCTGCCCTGTCTACAGTTTGGTATGCACGTGCTTTTCTGGTTGTGGGAAGGACCCCACCCATCATGGGAAGCGAGAAACTTTTGTCGCAAATTGGTTTCGTGAGTGAAAGTCTCTCGCAACCCAACCGAACCTCTCCGTGCCTGCCTCCCGAACCTAGTTTTTAGCGTTGACTTCCTCTGAGTAATTCAGGTGTTGGGCTTTAATTCTCAGAAGATTTCACTAATGGCAAAATTTTTAGCATTTCTAGCCACCTGTTTGTCGAAATCACAGCACGCGGCAATGCCATTTTTACACTAATGGCGCATTTCCTTCTCTCCCACATGCATGCACAGGGATGTATTTTATGCCACTGTACTGTAGCTCGACAGGACTGTACCTGCTGACACTGAACATTAGGGCATGGCATATTCAGCAAATACATGCCGTTTGATTGAACATGCCTGTTCTAGCACCACATGCACCACGCCCTTGGAGCTCCTCTATGATGCTGCAGTGTAGAAATAGACTGACTGAATCCCAAGCAGCATTTCAAATCCTCGCTCTGCAACAGGGGAATAAAATGGTAAAAGAGTTGAAAGCGGTTAGACCTCTGACATACCGGAAAAGCAACTTAAACAGATAACATAATTTATACTCCAGTGTAACCAGTGGCACAAGAGCATGGAAACAGATGCTGTGAGAGGAACAAACCTGCGAGGGAACCGAGTAGAGGAATTGGGCGAACGAATGATCGAATGCCTTCGAGTGGATGCCTGCATGCACAAGAACAATGGACAACAAGAAAGGCAAGAGAACCTGGATTGACTGAGTAAAACTGACATGGGGGACGAGTAGAGGAATCAGGCGAACAAAAAATCTTGCAAGCACAGAAAGCAGGGGCAAGCAAGGCAACAGAACTCCCGAGTAACAATTTAACGGAGCCAAGGAATCGGGCAAACAACAGCAGACTTAATAACAACAGAACCAACAAATTATGGAATTGAAACAGGGTTACCTTGTGACGGCATGAAGCAGGGCGAGCGCAGGAGGTACCGTACATGACAAGCAGCATGTGGTGGCGTGTGAGAGGGAGTCTATTATTGAGTTTCCTCAACAATAGAGCAGATTAATGATGGGATGGGAGCAGAGTTACCTTGTGACGGCATCAAAGCAGGGCGAGCGCAAGAGGTACAACCTTTAAGTGTCGAAACGCTGATGAAGGCCTTTGCTGGCCGAAACGCGTTCGCATGCGCATCCGGGCCTATGTGTCTGGCTTTCTGACTTAATGACCTTTGATTACGACTTCCCTCGTCTTTCATAGTAGTAGAATTAGTACTACAGACCACTCTTAGCAGGCTTGCAGCGGTTCGAAACCATCTTTTCTCAACAATAGAGTAGACTAACGATGGGACGGGAGCAGGTTCTGATTTTTTTAAATTCTCAAAAAACAGATTCAGCAGGGTTACCTTGTGGCAGCATCAAAGCAGGGCGAGCGCAAGAGGTGCATGACAAGCAGCACGCAGTGACGTGTGAGGGGACTCTACTTTTAAGGCGCCTCAACATACCATCAAGGCCAGGTGGTTACCTTGTGACGGCATCGAAGCAGGGCGAGCGTAGGAGATACATCACAAGCATGACGCAGTGACGTGTGAGGGGAATCTACTTTTAAGGCGCCTCAACATACCATCAAGGCCAGGTGGTTTCCTTGTGGCAGCATCAAAGCAGGGCGAGCGCAGGAGGTACATGACATGACAAGCAGCATTCGGTAACGTGTGAGAGGGATTCTAGTATTGCCATGGATCAACAATAGTGCAGACTTGGAATTGCATTTGGGTTACCTTGTGGCAGCATCAAAGCAGGGCGAGCGCAGGAGGTACATGACAAGCAGCATTCGCCGTCGGGCAAGCTGCAGAAGCAAGAACGCAGGAATAAGCAGGGAGGGTAGATGCGAGCAAGAGGAAGTGTAGGTCACACATGGCAAGAAGAAGTTAAAAAATATGCAAAGGAGGATGCGGAAAATACGGATCAGAAACCCAGATTACAGGATCGGATAAGTAAAGTCAAGAGACACACATACACACACAACAATCCATGGGGTGTTGTACCCCTCGTAACAGCATTGGTTCTTCCACTCACATCAGCTCGCTCCTCATCTGTCAGCTGAAACACCTCCTTCTGTGTCTCCCTTCCATCCGCTCTGCTGCTGCCATCAGCAGCTGTTCGGCGGAACGAGAATCAGCAACAGCAAAAGCAGCTACAGCATTGTTTCTACCACTCACATCAGCTCGCTCCTCATCTGTCAGCTGAAACACCTCCTTCTGTGCCTCCCTTCCATCCGCGCTGCTGCTGTCATCAGCAGCTGTAGCAGCAGAACGAGCAGCAGCAGCAGCACCGTTACCAGACCCATCCACAGCACCAGCAGAAGCAGCTGCAGCATCAGGACCATCATTGGCAGCAGTAGAGGTAGAAGCAGACGTAGAGCGATCAGCAGCCGCAGCAGCGGTGGCGGCGGTGGCGGCAGACTGAGAGGCGATGCGATGGAGGAGCAGGGATGCGGCATCGAGGGAGAGGGAGAGCAGCCAGGGGTTCCATCGCACCCACCACCACCACCACCGCTTGCCTGGCTGTCCTGGCAATGGCTTGACAACAGCACTGCCTGGAATGGACACACAGGGAGATACCAGGGGGAGAAGAGGACAGGGACAGAGCGATCATCAGCTGCTGCAGCAGCGGCAGCAGCAGAAGCAGTGGCAGCTTGAGAGGCAGCTTGAGAGGCGAGGCGATAGAGGAGCAGAGAGGCGGCGTCGAGGGAGAGGGAGAGCAGCCAGGGGTTCCATCGCACCCACCACCACCACCACCTCCTGCCCGGCTGCCCTGGTAGTGGCTTGAGTGCTACTGTGCCTGGGATGAACACAGAGGGAGATACCAGGGGGAGAAGAGGAAGGGGACAGAGCGATCAGCAGAACCAGCATTGGCGGTGGCAGCATGGGCAGCAGTGGAAGCTTGAGAGACGGGGTGATGGAGGAGCAGGGAGACAGCGTCGAGGGAGAGGGAGAGCAGCCAGGGGTTCCATCGCACCCACCACCACCACTTCCTGCCCGGCTGGCCTGGGAGGGGCTTGACAGTGGCACTGCCTGGAATGAACACAGAGGGAGAGGGAGCATGTAGAGAAGTGAGGGAGCGCGAGAGGGAGAGGGAGAGGGAGAGCAGCCAGGGGTTCCAACGTACCCACCACCACCACCACCGCTTGCCCGGCTGCCCTGGGAGCGGCCGCAGTGCTGCTGTGCCTGGAAGGGAGGGAAGGATACAAACATGGGAGAGATGGTGGATAATTAACAAGAGGGAGAGCAGCCAGGGGTTCCATCGCACCCACCACCACCACCACCTCCTGCCCGGCTGCCCTGGCAGAGGCTTGAGTGCTGCTGTGCCTGGGTTGGGGGGAGGGAGATCCCAGGGGAGGATGGCGGGACGGGACAGAACGGTCAGCATCAGCGGCAGCATGAGAAGCGAAGACTAATGTAACGAGCACAAAGAGTCAGTCACATGCGTGAGTTTGCCTTACCTCCAGCGGGAACGAGCAGCTCTGGCATCGGCTTAAATGGCGAGCACGTAGAGGAGCCAAGTGCCACATGACCTTGGGGAAGGATCTTGAGGACGTTGAGGAAGGATCTCTAGGGTGTGGTTACCCTACTTTGTCACACAGAGCAGAGACGTTTGTCCTCCCACCTGTGGATGAGTTGCCCTCACCTGCTCTGGAACGAGCAGCACTGGCAGCGGCTCGGATGGCAAGCACGTAGAGCAGAGGGCGGAAGATGTGGATGAGCTCTGCTGACACGTGCATGCAGCTGGGGGACGAAATGATGGGAGAGGGGTATGGAAGGAAGGGAGAAGAACAACTGTGAGTCACGGCGAATGCCGAGCACGTAGAGGAGCGGGAGGAAGATGTGGATGAGCTCTGCTGACACGTGTATGCAGCTGGGGGGAGCGGGGAGGGGAGAATGGATGGGGATATAGAAGAGGAGGGGAGAACAACAGTGATTCATGTTCACCGTTGTATGATGGCTTGAATTGAATGGCGAGCATGCAGAGCAGAGGGAGGAAGTTATGAATAAGCTCTGCTGAGACGTGCACACAGCTGGGGAGATGGGTTGATGGGGATACAAGAAGAGGGGGTGAAAAGTTGGGGGTTGTGTTCTGATGGCTCATAAAGCAGAGGGAGGAAGATATAGATGAGCTTGTATGCAGGCAGCTGGGTGGGGGATGGGAATATAAGACAAGGGGAGTGGGGTACCATGGTACAGGCCAGCAGAAGACTCACCGAATCCAGTCAATCTGTTTTGTCTTGGCCAATGCTTGACTTGTTTCGCTGGCTGACGTGACGGTTCCGTCTACCACGCTTGCAGCTGACGTGGCAGGCCCATCTTCCACGCATGCAACTGACGTGGCGACAGCTGGAGCCTTCTCAACAATCCCGTTGGAATCAGCCGTTTCTACCCTGCCTTGGTGCTCTATACCCTGTGCTGCTGCGTTCACAGCAGCACCAGCACCAGACACAGCAGGACCACTGGACGAAGCAGCAGCAGCATTCCTCACCACACCAGCACCACCGTTTCCCTGTGCCCAATACTGCTGCTGCTGCTGCAGGTTACATTGTTGCTGCTCATAATACCACTGCTGCTGCTGCTGCTGCTGCTGCTGCTGCTGCTGCTGGTACTGGTTCTGGTGGTGGTGCTGGTGCTGGCGGTGGTAATGGCGGGAGTGCTGCTGCTGCAGCTGCTGCCCCCCCACTTGCCTTTGGAACCTTTGAAACGCACCCAGGGCCCTGGTCGTGGCTGCCTGCTGCCCGTTCACGCCCCGGTTACCACCGTTACCACCGTTACCACCGTTACCACCGTTACCACCGCTGTAACCCATCGGACTGGCTGTGCTATGCGGCTGCTGCTGATACAGGGACGGCTGCTGGGCTTGTAACGAGGATGAAGTTGATGGAACAGGCTTGCTGGGGCCGGAATTCTCCGTGCTGCCTCCTCCTATCAGCAATCGCCACCTGTCGCGGTGCAAGAGGAGCAGGCGGATTGCGGCCCTGCAGGGAAGAGATGTCAGCATCCAAGTCAGCACGAGAAAGTGGAGAAGTGGGAGCAGGAGGAGAATGGAGGGATGCGAACAGGAAAGATGAGAGAAAGAATGAAGGGAGAAGATGCGGAGCGAAAGAGATTCGAAACTCTCTTTCAGCAAAAAACTCGAGTCTTGAGAAAAAAGTCCTTCCTTCTTGCATGCGCATGTTACCCTTTCAGATCACAAAAAACTTGGAAACTCATTTGGCTGCTTCGATGCCAGCAACGGCTGTCCACTTGCCCTCCTCCCCGAGCCACTGCTCTGCCGCCATCTCACCCCATTCCCTTCCTCGCCAAGCCATTGCCCTGCCACCATCTCTCCCAACACCTCCCTGTGAATATACATCAGCTCCTTCCCCCCACCCAAGTAAATTACTTGGCTGCTTCGATGCCGGCAACGATGCTCCACTTGCCATCCTCTCCAAGCCACTGCTCTGCCGCCATCTCCCCCAGAACCTCCCTTGGAACAACCATTTATCCCTCAACGACCCCTCCCCTTACTCACTTGGCTGCTTCGATCCCAGCAACAGCCGTCCACTTGCCCTCCTCTCCCAACCATTGCTCTGCCGCCATTTCCCCCACCACCTCCCCCTCTTCCCCCCTTTTCCCACCTTCCCCCACCCCAGTGACTCACTTGACTGCTTCAATGCCAGCAACTATGCTCCACTTGCCCTCCTCTCCCAGCCACTTCTCTGCCGCCATCTCCCCCACCCCCTCTTTCACCATCTTCCCCACCTTCCCCCACCCCAGTGACTTACTTGGCTGCTTCGATCCCAGCAACAGCCGTCCACTTGCCCTCCTCTCCAAGCCATTGCTCTGCCGCCATTTCGCCCAGCACCTCCCCCTCTTTCACCACCGCCAGCACCAGCGCCCACGGAATCAACCCCATTCTCCCCTTCCCCTCTTCCCCCTCCTCCTCTTCCCCTTCACCCCCTTCCCCCGACTCTCCCGCTCCACTCCCGTCACCCTCTCTTCCTCCGATTCTTTCCCCCTCCCATCCCTCCCCCCCTTCTCGTACCCATTCCCCTGGGATTTGTCTGCCAGGGGGAAGGGTATGGGGAGGGGGATAGGGGTACGGGGAAGGGGGGAAGCCAGTGGCGGGAAAAGGATGGGGGGAAGAATGCGGGGGGAGATTTGGATCGGGGGGAGGGGGGTGGGGGAAGGAGGCAGGGTGGCCGATGACAGGGGGAGGGGTAAAGGCTGGATGGGACTGTGGGTGGGGATGATAATGCTGCTGTAGCTGATGTTGCTGGTATTGCTGATGCTGAATGAGCTCTGGAGGGCCGTTGTGACTCAACAGAGCATGACCATGCGACAGGTACGGAGGTGCTGCAGGAAGGTTCAGGTTCGGTGCGTGGAGGTTCGGAGCCTGGTTCGGAGGGAGGTTCGGAGGAAAGCCGTTAGGCTGGAAGGGAGCGAGATTGTGGTTGTGGTTCAGAATGGCCTGTTGATTGTGTAATGGGAAGGAAGAAGGTTGAGTGGCAGGCCTATGGGAGCGGCTGCTGGCTTGAGAAGAGGCTTCAGTAGGAGCTGTCTCGATAATGTGGTCGTTAATAACGGAGATCACTCCAATCAACGTCGAAACTGCCACCAAAACAAGGAAAAGAAAGCAGAGGTGGAAACTTCAGACATTTTTGCAAAAATACTCGGAGGAACAGAAGTGAACGAGCAGGAACGGGGAGAATAAAACAATTATAATATTAGTAATAGTAAAACTCAGATAGCTTACGAGCTTCTGGCGCGAGCTCGGACTCGGCGAATCGGTCAGGAAGAAGCCATGTCAGGGTCTGTGCATGTGGGGAGTGAGGGTTGGGGGAGAAGCAGGCAGAGAGAGAGAGACCGCGAGAGAGTCAGCGAGTCGAGCTTCTGGCGTGAGCTCGGACTCGGCGGATCGGTCAGGAAGAAGCCATGTCAGGGTCTGTGCATGTGGGGAGTGAGGGTTGGGGGAGAAGCAGGCAGAGAGACGGACAGGCGAGGTGGGAATAAGAGCTCAGCCGTGTTGCGGGTTCAGTTTGCCAGTCCCTCATGCTGTGAGCTCTTCTAACTCATGAACCAAAGATCATCATGCTCGGCCAGGCTCTGACGCGGGTTTGAAGAAGTGTTTTGAGACGTCTCAAAACACTTCTTCACTATTCCTCATGCTGTGAGCTCTTCTAATTCATGACCCAACGATCATCATGCTCGGCCAGGCTCTGACGCGGCGAAACGGTCGGAAGGAGCCACGCCGGAGTCAGTGCTACAGTGTAGCAGGAGGGAGAGATCGGGACGGAGAGGGAGAGGGTGAGGATAGAAGCCATGTTAAAGTCTGTTGATACGTGAAGATTCTATTTGCGAGGCGGTTCAAAGCTGATTCCGCGAATCACTGTGGCACTCCGCAGTCGACTCATAAGTCGAACGAGCCTAGCAGGACCCACTCACATTCGCCATGCTTTCGGCCGACGACAGCCATTGTCGGTTGCGGCGAACCCAGTCCTTGTACGCGTCGAACACTGCTACCGCCATGACCGCGACTTGTGCTGGCTAGTTATGAATCCGCTTACGAGTAAGTCTTCTACTTAATATCGAACCCAGTCTTTGTACGCGTCGTACACCGCCACAGCCATGACCGCGATCTTCGTTGGCTAGTTCTAAATCTGCTTACGAATAACTCTTCTACTCAATATCGAACCCAGTCTTTGTTACGCATCGAACACGGCCACCGCCATGACCAGGCGCTGTGTTGGTAATCGCAAATCCGCTTACGAGTTCTGCTACTCAATCTCGCACACACTCCTTGCACGCATTGGTCATCGCAACCGCCATGATGGCTTCCTGCTCTCGATCGCCGCGTTGCGCTCACAAACCCTCAAATCCTCACGAATATCATCCGCTCCTCAGCCCTTCTACGCATTGGTCATCGCCACCGCCATGATGGCTTCCTGCTCTTCATCGTCGCGTTGCGCTCACGAATTTCGTACCCAGATTTAGAGACCCTCCACGGTAGCTCGTTCTCTCCTCAGCATAAACTTTGAGGTGCTCAACTTAGGCGCTGTTCTGTTGCCGCATTGACTTTGCCGCAACAAACACATAGCACCAGTTCATGCTTCCTACGGTCTTCCGTGAGGGGGCCTTTGACAATTCATTTCAAGGGCGTGTTCAGTAAACAGGTTCGGGATCCTGAACTCTTTCCCGAACCTAACCAGTGCTGTGCTGTGCGCATATGATTAATGCGTGCAAAAGAACGCTGAACCCGCAATGCGCTCGGAACCTACGTATGATCTTCCCTTCACGGGCAAACTTGATGCGCCGCACTGCAATGCCAATCCCCACGACGATGGGGGATTCAAGCACAGCACGAGCGCACCCGGGCAGGCAGTAACTCCCGGGCAGGCATAAAACAATGAATATTGGCAGTAACGCCAATCAGCCTCCTCGAATATTCCACGGTCTAGTGCCGCAAAAACATGTTGACATCCTGAAATTTTCGTAGAGGATGCGAGGTAAAATCCGCGTGGCTTCAACCGTTTTGATACTTCGTCGAATATTTCTTCCGCACCCGCTGTGCTGAGCTGTGCGGTTCTCGGCCAAAAAGCCAACGCGGCAACAGAACAGCGCCTTAGAGCTTGGCAAGCTAGAGTTGTGAACAAACTTATATGTCTCGTAAAAGTTGTGAGTGTTACATTGCTCCGCGTTTTGTTCAGCATCGTCCTGTAGCGAAGTATTACCGCCGTAAACCTTCATGTCTGATGCTTCTCATCTGCTCCGGGAGTTTCCACCTTCCGCTGTCGCGAGTGTATCAAGTCTTCTGGGGTGAGGTTCAGGACGGTCGACATGAAAAAATTCTCAGAATCTGCATCCCATCCGCTGAAATGTTTGGAGGTGTGAAATATAATGATCATTTATCATACCGTAAGTACAGACACAGCCACACCGGCTGGTAAAATAGTTCTAACAACCAACATGCCAGCAATCAAGCCATGAAGAACAGACTATCTCATGACCAGAGGCTACCACGCTGGAAAACAGGAGATGCAGCACCAGTCAGACTGGCACGGCAAAAAGAGGATAGAAGATGAAACCATATACAGTACCAGCACCAGGCTACATGGCACCGGAAAAAGGGTGGTGAGAGAGAGTAGCAGGGTCCTTGAAGGTGATCTGGGGCTGAAGCACAGGAGAAGCAAACCCGTGGAGGTACACCAGCTGCCGCCAGTGGAAAAAAAACGGGTACGCACCAATCTTGCACCTCCATCCCCTCACAACCGAGGTGAAACTTGAATCCCTTGAACCCCCGTCCATCTATTGATACAAGAAGGTGAAAACTCATGCTCAGTGAGAGCTAAAATGAGAGCTGGAATGAGAGATGAAACTCTCAAAACCGCATGGTTTCTGTTCAAGCGGTTCAGATATGAACGCCGAGAAGGGATGGCCTGGGGCGGAGGAATTGATGGTAGCTCGGCTTCTGGCGGGGCTCTGGGGATGAAATCGGAGTGAAGAACTCGGATACTCCCGAGGAGGAGCCTGACGATGACGCTGAGATAGAGCGCGCCGAGTCGGCCTGGAACGCGCGGAGACTCGCGAGACGCCACTTGTACGCGCTGGTAGCGTCTTCGTTAAGGTCGCTCTTGATTGGGAGTAGATCTTGGAATGAAATTGTCTCGCTGGTCTCAGCTGAATTCGTCGCGAAGACATCAGACGAGTCGCCTGTGCGGGGGATCTTCTTGGGATGTGTGTGGTCGGGCGACACAGCAGGCGACGAACTGGGCGACTCTGTCGCCAGGCCGGTGGTCGTCGACGGCGACGACGGCTGCGACTGCAAGCTCCGTACGACGAGCTCGAGAAGCGAAGCTGCCGCGTCGCGCTTGGCCTTGCTGGCGACAGTTGGGCCGCGCGCAGCCGACGTGAGTCTTCCTGCAGAAAGGCGCTGCTGCTTCGGAGACAGGTTCGGCTGTCGAATCTGGGTCAGAGGCTCAGCAGCATGAAGGTCCTGCTCGTCGCAGGTGGTGGTCGCAGCAGTGTCGTTTTTTAGTTGCGCCACGACAGCCTCCAGCTGTTGCGACTGCTGTTGCGACACCTGCTGCTGCGACTGCTTCTGCGACGGCTGCGACGGGAACACCTGCGACGCCTGTCGCGGGAACACAGCTCGTCGCGCGTGGGCGAGCCACGGGTGCGACATCACACCGTCGATGTCAGATCTCTGCGCAGGATCGACGATCATCATTCGACAGATCAGATCCCGCGCCGCGATCGACAATTTCGCCCATCCCGCGCTCCGGAAGTCGTTCGGGGTCAGCTGGCGCCGGTTTCCGGGAAACGCGGGCCACGTGGAAGTGAGCATGGAATAAAGGAGCACGCCTAGGGACCACACGTCAGCCTTGGTGTTGTAAGGCTGCTCTGCGAGCATCTCAGGCGCTTCGTACGGCATGCTCCCACCGATCCCAATCATCGCGCACCCCGACTTCAGCTGAAACGCCAAACCGAAATCCGCAAGACGAACGGATATATTATCCGCGATAGAGACAGACGATGATCCGGTAGTAGCGGCGTTGATGGTCGTTGACTTGGTGAGAAGGATGTTCTCCGGTTTGATGTCGCGGTGAACGATGCGGTGTGCGTGGCACCATCGCACGGCACGGATGATCTGAACGAAGATTTTCGCCGCGGACGCCTCATCCAGACCGTTGCCTGATCGGTCGACCAGATCGAAAAGATCCCCGCCGCTGCACAGCTCCGTTACAAGATACACGGTCTTATCGTCGGCGTACACATGCGCGAGCGACAGAATATTTTCGTGGCTGCCCAGAAGCGACAGGGAGTAAATCTCCCGTTGAAGATCCGCCATCTCGGATTCTGATAGGCCCACAGTGCGAATCTGCTTGCACGCCATGGGCTGACCCGAAGCGCGATCCACGCAGCGCCATACCTTGCCGTACTGACCCTCGCCGATGATGTCGGAGAAGGCGAAATCTTGCCAGAGCTGCGACGAAGGCTTCGGCTGAGGCATGATCGTCGGAGCTTGCGACTGATATAAAAGGATGCGAACGGACTTGTGACGAGGACTGAGGTCACACGAAGTGAAGGACCTCTATAATGTAGACACAACACAGCTTTGAACTGATGAGCTGTCGATCTAGTGAACCTCTGAAGAGATGAGGATGGGAACAGGATAACTAGCTGACGTGAGACGGGCGTCTAATATACAACTCCACTCGACATAAGCGCCTTGTGGGGAGGTAGTTCCACCTCCTCTGTTGCTTGGGTTGGGAAAGAGCGGGTAACTGACGCGTTTCTCGGTTGTTGTATTCCAAACAATTCGCTAGGGGATAAAAGAGACCGCCGCGGATGCAGTGGTATTGCAACAGCGAGTGAGGCACCGATGAATAGTTGGTAAGAGAGAGAAAAGAAAAAGCACGCGTGTCCGGTACAGAAACGCCAGGGACATAGGCAGAAGCACCTGGAAGGAAACTGGTGAAGAGTGCAGCAGCAGCCAGGAGCCAAGAGGAGGTCTGCAAATGGCAGCGGCAGTGGCATCCCTCTGGCAGTGCGAGGCAAGGGTGTGGTTGAAATGTTGCATCCCATACTGCGCTCCCTAATGTTTGGGTGGATGTACGATGCGCAGAGCAGCAGCAGTTTGTTCCCCAAAGCTGGAGGGAATGACGGACCGCTCTGGTTTCGGTTTCCGATTCTTTTTGGCAGTGGTTTTGACACCGTCTTGCTTTGCGCTCGAGTCCGATACCTTCGGTCAGTTATTTACGCTATTACCCCGTTTCGTGTCCAGAGACTAATATTGTGTTTTATTTATTGGGATATCATAAATTGAATTTTCACGTCAAATACGAGAAGCTCGGGACAAAAAATATATACCCCTCATGGAGGGCATGCCATTTGGGAGGCATCAACCCTAAACACCCTTAGGCAAGGTGTTTAGGGTTGATGCCTCCCAAATGGCCAGCCATCCGAGAGGGGTTTATTTTTTCCACTGGCCACTAAACTAAAAGCAGGTACTTCAGAATTTTCCTGGTCATAGGAAATTGGAAATGTCGAAATCAGCTGCCCCAAGGAATCGGACGCGAGCGGAGAAGCGAGGCGGTGTCAAAGCCACTGCCAAAAGGAATCGGAAACTTGAAAACAGGGAGATCCGTCATTTCTTCCCAAAGCTGCTTGTGCATTCACCGTGTCCAAGTTCGGGGTGTGGAGCAACATTTTGTTGTGGGAACTAGACAGATTATTTACCGTTTGAGAAGGTTTACAAAAAAGTAGTTAATGGTTCAAGACGGTGACAATATCCAACCAATTTAAATAGCAACAAAACGCAATCAACCCTTCTGGTTTAGCTCTAATGAGCTGAGACCCACACCTTATGCACATCATATCCCCGAAGAGTGTGCACCCGCGTAGATATAAGGGGCTGGTTGGAACTCAGCGACTCATAACTAGAGCCTCTCGAATACACGACGAACAGTTTCGCCGATACGTAGCCAATCGTAACCAGCATTGTTCTGACATAGCCGTCGCTGTGGGTGGTGTGACGCTGGCATGCGAAGGGGCATTGTTTCCGCGAAAATGAGGAAGGAAAGAGGCCAGCAGGAGACAAGTGCCACCCACACCAGGCCTGTTGAAGTCCCTGGGACCAAAACTTTAAGTCTTGAGCTGCTCGAATTCTGGCCCTGATTTTCACGGGCGCAAGCCGAATTTAAACCTTGAAATCCGGGCTACTTAGGACAGTGTACTTAGCCCTATTGTAACAAAGGAGGATGTCAACCTAATACTAAGCAGAAGGGAGAAGTTTACTCACTGCTTATCTACGCACCTATAGCCTATTCATCGTAGGGAAAAACAACAAGGGGAGGGTGAGGGGCGGGGAGGGGAGGAAGGGGCAGGAATTGGGGGGTAGGGTCCCTCGAAACAGAAACAAAACTTGGATTCAGAGGAAGGCCCAAACGAGGCCCTTAACTGTCACGGGTGCCATGCGAGTCCAGCACTTAAAACGGTCGAGCTGCTCCAAGGTAGGCCGGAACACAGGGCATTAAGGAAAAATGCCCTTACTTCGACAGCCCTGACCCACACATGCGCTCACTCGACTCGTCCAACCAACCAATCCCAAAAGAGGCAGTGAGTGCATGGACACTGCCAAAACAAAAACCGAGTCTTGCACACCTTCGACGTGACGTCAGCGAAACAATTTCTACCAATAAATGTATGTTACTGTTCTCGCGGATGTTTAGTTGCATTGCATTCCATACCCGCCAAAAACTCGCGCACCCGCTGAAAAGCAGCAAAGAAGGATGTGGCTGCAGCTGCATTTCAAAAGCTGTCTTCACTTGCCTTTGATTCCGGTCTGGTCCAGATTTCGTACAAAATCCACTTCGTCCCTTGCCAAACCTCCAAGTGTTTCACTTACGACCATGTCAAGAGGTCCACTTTACAGCGAGGCGAGAAAAGCAGCCAGCGAGACCTACAGTACGTGGCAGGTTCATGGCGACATCCAATGGGCATCAGCACCAACGACAAAGGCAGGGTCTCTCGTTCTACCAATGAGACAAGCGTCCACACATCAGTTGGATCCAGCCTGGCGTGGCGACCTTCCCCATCTTGTCCACCTTCACCAAAAAAACATATGTACAGCTGAGACTAGCTTATCTACATTACCTGTATGTGACATGCTGGTAAGTGATATTTTTTTAGAGCAGTACAGCTGCTCTGGCTTAGAGGTCTTTCCTAAAAGAGTCCCATTTCCTCAACGAGTAGATTTTTCACATAAGCCCTAGGTGTATCCCCTCCTCTACAGTCCAATTTTTGGCGGGAAATCTTGCATCTTGACTGAATCATTGCACGAATCAGTTCTGCAGCCAATCAGAGGACGCAAATCGAACCTGTCAGAACATTAAGGGAAAATAAAACAAAAGGAAGTTTTTTATTCACTATTTACTTTTTGCAGTTGTGTTTGTCTGTTTATCTTGACCTCTCTTGCGTCTAAATCCTGTTGCGCGGTTCCCCGCGAGCTCCGACGATGCCATCTCATTAATCTCGATTACAGTGTAAACAAAAATTGTTGTCTTTCATTTCGGCCTTAAACATAATTTATTCTGTATTTTTCTGCCCGTTTGTCCTGCGACACTGATCAGCGCGGCGAACCGTGCGACGAGAAGTTGAAGACAGCGTAGTCCGAATGTACGTATGTGACAGAAAAACACGAATAGTCACGAAGGAAAATCGCTCTTCATGCAATTTTTCTCATATGGGACTACGGTATAAGTTCCCTTTTGCCCGGGGTTTGTGAGTTTTCCACAAAGGCCCGCAGCGCGCGTGTTTTTTACGGGGACTCTAATCGAGAACATCTGTACTGTACATCACACAAAGAAAGAACCTACCTGCCAACGCACATAACTTTACCAGGCACCGCAGCTCCCCAAGCATGTGAAATGACGATCACAGCCCAACCAATTGTGCACACAGCTGCATGTTCTCCTGCTATAAATTATCATTGCCATGAAAAGATAGGGTGCATTCACAACCCATTACTCTGGATTCCATTGCAACCCACATACAACCATCGCACCAATGATATCATCAGGCAACGGAGCCGTAAACGTAAGTGGTAACTTTGTAACTGGATGTTCAAAAGTCAATGTATGTGCATGTAATGCTTGCCTGTGTAACACCCCAACCTTCTCAATCTCCCCACTCCAACCCAACCCAACCCTCCACACCATAAATGTTTCCACAACCCTTTTCACACCCGATTCGCCGTCCCTCCTGGAATAACCATGTTCGCTCAGCCGATCTTCATCCTCGCTATACCGCTCCTTGCTTAGACTAGAGTGTCTCTCGAGTTGATCAGAGTGTGTCTCCTCGAGTTGGTTATAGCACTCCCTACAGTGCTCACCCCACATGAGAGGGAGGGCGCCATAGATATGATCTGCTAGCACAGGCAGCTTGGCATGCTGCAGATGCACTCTGATCTGGTGCGTCCTTCCTGTTACCGGGACGGCTTGTAAAAGGGATACCCTGATGGAAGAATGAAGAGGGTGTGGGGGAACGGGGAGGGGTGAGGGGAGAGAGCGAGAGGTACTGGGATTAGCCTTGTGCATTTGTACACGAGTGCGAGGTGACGGTGGAGCAATGCAATGTAGAGGGGTGCAATGCAATGGAGAGGGGTGCAATGCAATGGAGAGAAGGGTGGAAGAAGATGCAGAGGGGTGGAAAGGGTTGTACCCGGAGGCTTCACTTCTTGCAAGCACACGGAACTCTGTCACTGCTGCCTGTATCTTGCTCTCCATTTTCTTGATCCGCACACTCTCTCCTACACTCTCTCCCACTCCCTCACCCCTTCCATCCGTCTCCTCCCCTGTCCCCTGTCCCCTCGCTCCAAGCTCCTCTGCCCCAGCCTCTCCCATCCCTTCTCTCTGCTCCTCTGTAACCTCTTTCCTCCTCTTACGAGCCTCCTCTCCCACAACCATGCGCGCAAACTCGTGGTCAGGGTCTCGTGCGATGGGAGCTCTTTGCGGCGTCTTACGCACACTTCCGTCCCCACAATTCTCTGTTCCAACCTCTCCACTCCTCTCCCCAACCTCATCTGCTGCCACAACCATGTGCGTAAACTCGTGGTCAGGGTCTCGTGCGATGGGGCCTCCCTGAGGCGTCGCAACTACACTTCCTTCTCCCCCCTCCTCCGCCCCAACCTCTCCATTTCTATCTTCGACCTCCTCTGCTGCTACAGCCATGCGTGCAAACTCATGGTCAGGGTCTCGTGCGATGGGGGCATCGACTGTGAAGGAGTCCAAACTAGGCAGCCCCACCACGAGCACCAGATACTGCTTCGCCACCTGGGAGGGGAGGGGGGACAGGCAGGGAGGGAGGGGTTTGAAGTATGGATAATAGGAGCACCAATTGAAAACGAGGCCAGGCAAGGCAGCCACACCACACCACCAGCACCAGATACTGCTTCGCCACCTGGGAGGGGCAGAAAGAATCAAACACACAGAGGAAGTCAAACTCATGGTCAGGGCCTCATGCAATGGGGGTATCAACTGTGAAGGAGTGCAAACGAGGCAGCCCCACCACGAGCACCAGATACTGCTTCGCCACCTGGGAGGGACAGGCCGGGTAGGCATGGGGGGGGAGTATAGAAGATGGGGGCATCGACTGTGAAGGAGTCTAAACGAGGCAGCCCCACCACCAGCACCAGATACTGCTTCACCACCTGGGAGGGAGGGGCAGGGACGCGATAGACGCATAGAGGAAACGGGACCAGCGCACAAAGCGGGAGGCGGGTCATGGTGAGGGTCCCGTGCTGTGGGAGCATCAACTGTGAAGGAGTCCAAACGAGGCAGCCCCACCACCAGCACCAGATACTGCTTCGCCACCTGGGAGGGGCAGGCAGGCAGGGGGTCACAGTATCGAGGAAACAGGATAGTGGGAGTCACAGCGATAGGGGTCTCGTGCAATGGGGGCATCGATGACGAACGAGTCCGGATGAGTCTGGGAGATGGTGTCAGAACTAGAGCTTAGAATCCATGCATTAGTAATGAGCTCAAGGCTCTTTAAGTACATCGGAAATGGGCAAGGTAAGGATGGGGAGAGAATCGGGGGCAATCCTAGGGGATTGGGGGTAATCCCAAGGCAATCTCCAATTGGTGGGTTGGAGATTGCTTGGAGATCACATTTGGGTTTGGTTGGGATGTGGGTGTGCACCCAACCAAACACCAAGTGCACACTACACTAGGATATAAAAGTGCAAGTTCAAAATGTGAGATTGAGGACTAACACTAACAGATGGGTCGAGACCTGGCGAAACAGACTCGCCTTTCACCTCACCTAGTCAACCCTAACTGATCTTTGCTGGGGAAGGCCTGATCTCTCCCTTTTCCTCACCTGGTTCTTGGACCGGAAGGCCTGGTAGAGAGCCTGGGAGACGTCATGCCTCATCTTTTCTCCCACTGCCCTGCACCACCTGCTCTGCCCCACCTGCTCCCTCCCAGGCTCCCAGTTCCCCCCCTTCCTACCTGGTCCTTGGAACGGATGGCCTGGTCGAGAGCCTGGGAAACTGGGCGAGTCTTGATGAAGCAGCTGATTCGCTTCCCCACCTGCTCTCTTGCCCTCATCTCCACTACCCCTGCCTAATCTAACCCCACCCCCGCCTCATCTCCCCTTTTTCCTCACCTGGCTCTTGGTGCGGAAGGCCTGGTAGAGAGCCTGGGAGATGGGGCGAGACTTGGTGAAGCGGATGATTTGCTGCCCCACCTGCCCTGCCACGCCTCATCCACCCCATCCACCCCACCCACACCTCAGCTCCCCCCATCCCTGCTTCACGCCTCCTCCCACCTCACCTGGTCTTTGGTGCGGAAGGCCTGGTGGAGAGCCTGGGAGACGGGGCGGGTCCTGGCGAATCAGATGGCTCCGCTGCCCCCCATGTTCCCTCCCAGCTCCCCCCCCCCCTGCTCCCACCTCACCTGGTCTTTGGAGAGGAAGGCCTGGTGGAGAGTTTGGGAGACTTGGCAAAAGAGACGACTCGCTGCCCCACCTGCTCTGTCATGCCTCATCCACCCCACCCACTTCACCCACACGTCATCTCCCCCCATCCCTGCCTCACGCCTCCTCCCACCTCACCTGGTCTTTAGCGCGGAAGGCCTGGTGGAGAGCCTGGGAGACAGGGCGAGACTTGGCGAAGCACATGACGCCGCTGGTGAACATGTCTAGACGATGCACTGTGAAGGGATCAGCCTGCAGATAGTGCGCCTGGCGTGTTGGGAGATCATAGTGTTGTGTGCAAGGGAAAGAGGAAAGCCATGAAGTGGGGATGGGGCGAAGCAGATGACGCCGCTGGTGTACATGTCGAGGCGGTGCACTGTGAAGGGATCAGCATGCAGATAGTGCGCTTGTGTGGGAAGGGGTTTATGGACGTGTAATTGGTGGATAAACGAGTCGGGATTCGGCCAGCGCTGACCACTGATTGACCAGCGTTGACCACTGATTGACCAGCGTTGACCAGCGCTGACCACTGATTGACTTACCTCTCGGTTGACCAAAGCCCCCCCCACGAATCGGTGCAGCTGGTGATGCTTCACCCCTGCTGGCTTGTTCATCACCTGGTACCACTCTATTGACCAGCGTTGACCCGCATTTACCAGCGTTGACCAGCGTTGACCCGCATTTACCAGCGTTGACCAGCGTTGACCCGCGCTGACCGGCATTGCCCTGCGTTGATCAGCGTTGACTGACTCACCACTCGGTTGACCAATGCTCCCCCCACGAATCGGTGCAGCGGCGAATGCTTCACTCCTGCTGGCTTGTTCACAACCTGGTGTAGTTATTGAGGGGTTAATGACAGAGGTTGATTAGAGGGTTTCAGTGATAAAGCCATTCTCGTGAAGCAGCACAGATGATTCACCCCTGCTGCCTTGTTAACCACCTGGTGTAGTTATTGAGGGTTTAAGGAGAGGGATTGAAATGGGGTGGGGAGAGGGGTTGAGGAGATAGGTTGAAGAGAGGGGTTGAGGAGAGGGGTGAGGAGAGGGATTGAGAGGAGAAGTTGATTGGAGGGGTTCAGTCAATTTTTGAGTCGACTCAAAAATCAAGGATGGTTAGTAAGTCATTTTCAGGAAGCGGCGCTTCACCCCTGCTGGCTTGTACACCACCCGCCAGCAGCCAATTGTAAGCCAGAGATACCCAGCAGCAGCCAATCACAAATCAGGGCGACTCACCAGTATCCAATCATCTTCGAACAGCACATCAAGCGGCTCGGCGTCTCGCACCAATGGCGGCTTTACTTTCTTGGCCTGCCGCGGCTTCTTAGGTTTCGCGTTCGCACTACGAGCTGAAGCTCTTGGATTCGAGCCTAAATCCATCTCGTTACAACTTCCTGGCGAATTCCCTGTAACGAAACCGCTTTCGCTCGAATCATCGCCGACCAAACGCGGCTCTGCAGCGGGGCGTGTCGCAGGCATTGACGAAACGCGTCCATTATTCCCGCTCGGACCCTCGATCTCTTCGCGATCAGTCGAAAGACCTATCGTAATCCGATTCCGAGCTTCGGATTCAACTGAAGGCGGGGTCTGCCTTTGAAGCGACTCAGAAACAGTCTCGACCTGGACGCGATCAGTCGAAAGACCTATCGTAATCCGGTTCCTAGCTTCAACTTCAACTGGAGAAGGAACCCGACTGTCATGTTCTGCTCGTGTTTGGTCGTATTCCGGAATTTCAGGGTCGGCAAGACGAAAGGAACCGTCGGATTCGGCATCTGCGCTCTCTCCAGAGCAGGCAGCGCGAGCTCGGCAGACGAATCTCGTCACGCGCACGCACAGCTGCTGACCCTTCGATTGAGTCACAATCTGGCCGTATCTCCGTGCGCTGCGACGTACTAACGGGGTGTAATATGGTGAGGGATGCAAAAGCTGCGAGAGAGCCTTCACTACGGGAGCGTACATTGCCGGCCTAGGTGTGAACCCTGAGTCAACTCTAAAGTCAGCAGGGAATAGCCGCGCCAGATACGAGTGTGACGTGGCAGCCCCTAATCCCAAGCTGATGCTAAAAGCGGCGCGGTTGCTGATGAGAAATGGTCCGCCCTCAGGCAAGTCAACAGAAAGACTTTTGGGTGATCAAGAAGGTGGAGATTTCGTTCGGCTTAGTCTTGAAAGTTATCAGGTAACTCGTCGCATAGCGTGGCCGGGAGACTTTGACATGCAAAATCGGCGTTACACGAAGTTCTCGAATCTAGCGACACAGGCGGTGCCAGCGAAAAGGTTCTTCGTCGCGGCAAGCGAATGTGAACCACAGAACACTCCGTAGCAGCTTGCCTCATTCCAAGGAAACCCGTTTCATAAATTTAAGAGAATGGGGTACCTCATTCTCTTCCTTATTCACTCTTCAAACTTGTGATCCGCGATCTTGGTTTGATTTGAACTAGTATTCAGCAGATTTGTTTGCACCTGACTTCATTGAGCACAACCGCAAAGCAAGTTGTCACAAAAATGAGGGGCGAAACTATTGAAAACTTGATCCAGTAGGTAACTTCCCCAGTAGTTAGGTGCCCCCATGCATCTCCTTCCCTAGCTTCTGAATCTGCACAGGGACAAGGTTAATACGAGAGAAAAAAAAGGGTAATCGATAAACGGCACAAATGGTGCCCCTAACGCACAGACGCAAGATCACATCTCACACCTACAGACACATCATATGATCACATCATATGATCACATCCCACACCATGCCTAGCCTTGCAAAACCATGCATCTGCTATATCAATCCCGTGCTATGCCATGCCATGCCCCATGCCGAGCATGCCGCAATATCGAATCGCGTTGCCCTATCACCCCCTCTTTTTCCTCCTCCTCACCTGACCCACCAGCATGTCAATGTGCCTGCGATACATCTGCTTCACATCCACCATGGCATGCCATACCATGTTTTACCGTATCATGTGGCATCATGCCATGCCATCACCCCCTTCCCTCCTCATCCTCCTCACCTGATCCACCAGCATGTCAATGTGCTCGCGATACATCTGCTTCACATTCATCATGCATGCCATACCATGTTATACGTATCATGCTGCATCATTCTTATCCCACCATCTCTCCCCCCACCCCACCCACTCCCCTCCCCTTCCCCCATCTCCCTCTCACCTGATCCACCAGCATGTCAATCTGCTCCCAATACATCTGCTTCACATCCATCACGCCATGTCATGCCACACTGTATCAAGTTCCGTCATCCCATGTTATAACCCCATTCTCCCCCCATCCCCTCCTCACCTGATCCACCAGCATGTCGATCTGCTCGCAATACATCTGCTTCACATCCATCAGGTCTCCACCCCATGCCACACCGTATCATGTTGATCCCACCATCTTTTCCCATCCCATCCCCCGCTCACCTGATCCACCAGCATGTCGATTTGCTCGCGGTACATCTGCTTCACATCCATTCCATGCCATGCCACGCCATGCCACACTGTATCATGTTTCCTCATGCCATACCAGCACCCCATCCCCCTCCTCACCTGATCCACCAGCATGTCGATCTGCTCCCGATACATCTGCTTCACATCCATCAGGTCTGCCCTCAGCTCCTCCACCTGCCATGCACCACAAGCAGGGCAACACAAGGATACATTGTGTTGGGTGGTTTGCAAGCAATGTGGCTGGTCAGTCCCCTCAACCCATCACCACCCCTGCTGCCCTCACATCCATCAGGCCTGCCCTCAGCTCCTTTAACCTGCTCGCCTCTCTCCCCCATCAACTCCAGGGCAGAAGAATGCCGCCTCCTGATAGCTTCCAGCTCCACCTGAGTCACCTCACTCCGGAGGCTCTCACACTCTCCCATACCCTTCCCAGATCTCTCACCTGCTCGTCTCTCTCCCCCATCAGCTCCAGGGCAGAAGCATGCCGCCTCCTGATAGCCTCCAGCTCCGCCTTGAGACCCGGCAGCTGAGTTACCTCGCTGCGCAGACTCTCACACTGGGTGGTTGTCTTAACCAGCTCTTCAGCCAGCGAATCGCGTGTGCTCTCCAGTGCGGCCTGATACAAGGAGAGGAAACAGGGGCGAGGATGGAAGGGGTTACACGATGGCAGATGAGTCCTGAACGCCAGATCGCCTTCAGTGTGTAAATCGCAGTCAAAGCCAATGACACCAAGACTGAGACTCACCAGTCTAGCGGTGTGTATGGCGATTTCTCCATCCTTCTGCCTCAGAAGCGACTTCAAATGCGCCAGTGGCAGCATGCATACAGACCAGCACTATTCCGTACAAACGAGCGCCAAGCAACCGCACACCCAAACAGAGCACTCACCAGTCTCGCGGTGTGTGTGGCAATTTCCCCATCCTTCTGCCGCAGCAGCGACTCCAAATGCTCCACAGTCGCAGCATTCGCAGCACTCGGCCTCAGCAGACCTCCACCGCTCGCCCCACCATACCCCATCCCCACCCCTCCCCCCATCCCTCCCCCCAACGCCCCCATGGACGAACTGGCACCAAGCATCCCAAACCCCCCGCCCCCTCCGCCGCTGCTGCTGGTGCTGCCGATTATCGCTCCTGTGAGGAGGTCGGAGTGGGACGAGGAGCCTCCAGGGAGCAGCGAGGCAGCGAGGATGCCCGACGCTGTTGCCTCCTCGATGGCGCTGCTGCCCGCACTGCTGCTGCTGGGGACCCGGCGCAGGGACTGGCGGACTGGAAAGGGGTGGAGAAGGGTGGAGAGCGGTGGGGAGAGCAGGAGAAGGAGGGGGGGAGTTAGAGGCAAGGGGCGTTAGCAAGCAGGCAGAGATGGTGGTTGCTGAGAAGAGGGTGGTCGGGGTGGGATGAGGAGGCCCCAGGAAGCAGCGACGCTGCGAGGATGCCCGACGCTGTTGCCTCCTCGATGGCGCTGCTGCCCGCACTGCTGCTGCTGGGGACTCGCCTCAATGCCTGGCGCACTGCGTAGGGAAGGATGAAGGGAGAGGGCGAGGGATGGGGAGGGAGCAGGAGGGAGGGAGCGGGAGGCAAGGGGAGTGAGCAAGCAGGTACCAATGATGGTTCCAGTGAGAAGATCTGGGTGGGAGGAGGAGCCTCCAGGGAGCAGCGAGGCTGCGAGGATGCTCGAGGCCGTTGGCTCCTCGATGGCACTGCTGCCCGCCCTGCTGCTGCTGGGGACTCGACGTAGAGACTGACGGACTGCATGGGGAGGGATGTATGTGGAACAGGAGGAAACGGGTGAAAGGGAACAAGGGTGGATGCCCGAGGCTGTTGCCTCCTCGATGGCACTGCTGCCCGCACTGCTGCTGCTGGGGACTCAACGCAGGGACTGGCGCACTGTGTGGAATAGAGGGGGTGAAGAGGGATGGGGAGGGGTAGCGAGGGGTGGTGAGGGAGCAGGAGGGAGGGAGCAGGAGAAACCTATCGACTGGCCAGCAGGACTGACCTGAGAGGTCGGGGTACGAGGAGCCTGCTGCTGCATGCGCTGCCACCAGCGCCTTCTCTGCTGCAGCCCGCCCCTCTGCCCGAATCTTCCTCTCGTGCTCAGCCATGGATGCTCGCTCGCTCTCCAGTTCCTGGGAGGAGAATACACATGGAGAGGGGGAGGAGAATACACATGGAGAGGGGGAGGAGAATACACATGGAGAGGGGGAGGAGTGGTGGGTGAGTGTAAAAGTGGGGGTGAAACCTGGATTTCACCTTCACCCTCCCCTTCACCTCCCGCCCTGTTACCTGACTGAACCAATCTCAATACCACTCAATCCACTCACCTGCTCCACAAGCTCCCTCCGCTGTCGCTCCTCCTGCACCTCCTTCCGCCACCGCCCCTTCACCTCCCTCATCTCCTCCTCAACCACCTTCACCCTCCCTTCCGCCGCAACCTTCGCCTCCTGAGCGCTCAGATACTCCGTCCTGTTCTCTGCCGCCCGCTGGCGCTCCTTGTCGAGGGAGCGGGAGAGCTGGGAGTGCTCGGCGCGCAGGCAGGAGAGCTGGGCTTCCATGACTGCCAGGCGGGACAGCGTCTGGTTCAGCCGCTCGCTCGTCACCCGCTCCCTCTCCTCCGCCACCGCCGCCTTCGCCTCTGCCTCCTGAACGGGCGGGAATAGGGAGAATCCGGGTAAAAGAAAGACGGAAGAGGGAGAGGAATCACAAGGCAGTCAGGTACCCTCTCTCTTCTCTCTCTCCTATTCTCCGCGGCCCGCTGGCGCTCCTTGTCGAGGGAGCGGGAGAGCTGGGAGTGCTCGGCGCGCAGGCAGGAGAGCTGGGCTTCCATGACTGCCAGGCGGGACAGCGTCTGGTTCAGCCGCTCGCTCGTCACCCACTCCCTCTCCTCCGCTACTGCCGCCTTTGCCTCTGCCTCCTGAAAGCGGGTGGGGCGGTGTGGGAGAGTGAGGGAAGAAGAGGCACGGTGTGACAGGCAGTCAGATACTCTCTCTCTTCTCTCTCTCCTGTTCTCCACCGCCCGCTGGCGCTCCTTAGAGGGAGCGGGAGAGCTGGGAGTGCTCGGGGCGCAGGCAGGAGAGCTGGGCTTCGCCTTCGCCTCTGCCTCCTGCAAGGGGGTTGATATGAGTCGGTGGAAATGAGGGTGGCTCCCCCTCTGACAGAGCATCTATGCGTGATTTGGCCGACTCCTGCATCGCCTCTATCTGCCGCAGCAGCCATCTTCCACACAGTCACTTGGTCGTACCCACAAGCACACACACAACATACCTGCAGCCGAGCATTCAGCGCCCTCTCCACCCCTGAGAGGGCCTCCATGCGCGTGTTGGCCGACTCCTGCATCGCCTCTATCTGCCGCAGCAGCGGGCGGGTCGACTCCGGTATCCGAGCCACTAGCTCCTCGTGCCGAGCCTCCGCTGCCTGGCTCAGGAAAACGAAAGGAATACGAGGAAGAGAAAAGAGGTTCGGAGAAGAGGTGACAGACAGGTTAAGGGCAAGTTTTCAGTCGACTCAAAAGGTGACAGACAAATTAAGAGCAACAAGACATGAGAAGGCAGCAATGTCAGGACAGAAGGGAAGAATCAGGGAAAGGGAGAGAACAAGAAAGAGCAAGGCGTTTTGGAATCAGGGTTCACTTCGACTCACCTAGACCTCTTCTCTTCTCCAGCATCTGCTCTCTGAACCCTGGGGCTGATGTTGAGAGAAGAGAAGAGGTCGTGCTGAAAGAATTCTCAAAAGCCTGCAGCTCGATCGTTGTGAGATAGTTCAGAATTCGAAGGAAAGAGGTATTTAACTCACACCTGGCATCGCTTCTCCATGTCCTCCAGGTCTCGCCACAGCATCTGCTCTCGGACCCTGCCTGCTGTTTGTTCCTTGTAAGATACTTTAGAGTATGAACCAGAAGCGGTATATGACTCACCTGGCATCGCTTCTCCATGTCCTAGAGGGGTGCGAACGGTTAAGGGAGAGACGGACGGGGACAGACAGAGTGCTTGCTTGTTCCACTCACCTGGCATCACTTCTCCATGTCCTCAAGGTCCCTTCTGAGCATCTGCTATCGGAACCCTGCCTGCTACTCGCTGTTCGTGAGAGCCTGCCTCTTGAGCCGACTCAGAACACACAAACTACTCTGAATCAACTCACAGGTGATATAAACCCACCTGGCATCGCTTCTCCATGTCCTCCAGGTCCCTTCTGAGCATCTGCTCTCGGAACCCTGCCTGCTGCTCGCTCCTTGTCAGAGCCTGCCTGAGCTCCTCCACAGTCATCACCAGCGCCCTCTCCCTCTCCCCCGCCTCCTTCAACTTCCTCTCTGCCTCCGCCTTTGCTTCGCTGTCCGCCCGCGCCTCTGCTGCTGCCTGCGCCTCCCGGGCAGCTGAAAGGGCAGAAACGTAGAAGTCTTTTTGGGCGGCGAGATCCGCCTGCCCGCGTTCTACTGCGTCTTGAAGCGCCTTTTCGGTGGCTGCTTTGTCTTTCTTGATGCTCTCCACTCGAGCCTCCTCCACCTGCAGCCGATTTTGTAGCCGGGTCCTCTCCTCCTCCATCTCACGAAGCTAAGAGGAGGGAGACGGGTAGCAGAGCAAGGCAGGACAGGGATAGGAGGGACATCTGACTTTCTTGATGCTCTCCACTCGGGCCTCTTCCACCTGGAGCCGATTTTGTAGCCGGGTCCTCTCTTCCTCCATCTCCCGAAGCTGCAAAAGAAGGAGAGAAGGGCAGAGCGAGGAACGAGAGGGAAGGGAAGAGAACTTGCTTTCTTGATGCTGCATGGAAGGGCCTTCATGGCAGCTGCTTCGTCCTTCTTAAAGTTCTCCACTCGAGCCTCTTACACTCAGCGCCGAAATTATAGCCATATCTTCTGCTCTTCCATCTCTCGAAGCTGCCAAAACGGAGAGGAAGAGAGAAGGGTAGGGAAAAAGAGTGTGGGAGAAGATCGAGGGAGGGGAACAGGGTTGGGAGGAAACATTATATCAAGTTGGCATCTGACTGTGCGAGAGAAAGAGTTTTGAGACATCTAAAAAAGGATAAGTTCTGAGAGGGAAATGTATGATCACGTTGGCATCTAATTGTGGGAGAGGGAGCAGTTGGCATTCATGGCCGGGAAGCGAGAGGAAGCTTCTCTGCACCTACTTGAGTGCGGAGCTTCTTCATGGCACCTTCCTGTGCTGCTTGCTTCTTGGAAAGTTCCTCTCCTGCACAATGACAAGTGGATAACAGAGAAACACATGCATGACTGAGCAAAAGAGAAGTATATATGCGTCCAACATGCACAGATGGCAGAAACAAAGCAGTAAAATACCAGACACAGCAACATACGTCAGTGGGAGCGGCAGTTTATGTGAGACATACATAGAGGCAGAAAAACAAAATCACAGCAGTAAGATACGATACCATGGCATACCCACCCTCACAGTGACATGCGGATTCTCTGAGAATACTCAGCTGCCTCAAACACCCACCTTCCGCCATGACCTGCCGAATGATCTCATCCTTCTCCTTCAGCAGCTGAAAGCACAGCACCTCCCCTCAACTCATCGCTCACCGTAGAGGTCACCTACCTACATTCCACCATCACCTATCGCCCCAACCACCCACCTTCCGCCATGACCTGCCGAATGATCTCATCCTTCTCCTTCAGCACGTGAATGCAAACCACCATCTCTCCACTCCCACACCATCTCTCACTCCCATCTCCCCAACCACCCACCTTCCGCCATGACCTGCCGAATGATCTCATCCTTCTCCTTCAGCAGCGTCGACGTGTCTGCCTTGCGGCTCTGCTCCCGTCGCAGCATGTCCCGCTCCTTGGTTAGAGCATATACCTGTAATGGTGAGGAGATGAGAAAGGGGTAGCAAGCATGTGACAGGGAATTTAATGGCAAGCTAAGGCCCTCTTGCTCTGCTCCCGCCACAGCATGTCCCGCTCCTTGTCAGAGCGTACACATGGAAGCAGCAAATGTGTGCACATATACAGGGTTGGGAGGGGTGTTTCAGGTGGCACTAGGCGAATCAATTTCACTCGGCCTTGCGGCTCTGCTCCCGCTGCAGCATGTCCCACTCCTTGGCCAGAGCGTACACCTGGAGTGCGGGAAAGTGGTGGGAGTAATGTGAATGCGCATGTGACGGGCCAGTTGGAGGCGAATCATGGCCACCCAGCCTTGCGGCTCTGCTCCCGCCGCAGCATGCCCGCTCCTTGGTCAGAGCGTACACCTGTAAAGAGAAGAGATGGTGGAATAAGGGAGGGCGAGAGAGCATGTGAGGGGGGAGTTGGAGGCAAGTCCAGGGTACACGGCCTTGCGGCTCTGCCCCCGCCGCAGCATGTCCCGCTCCTTGGTCAGAGCATACACCTGGCGAGCGGAGAAGGTGGTTATTGGTTACATGGTTACATGGTTACTGGTTACACACGTGTGTGTGCAGTGAATTTTTGGGAGTTGCTAAACCAACGCCACTCAGTTGACGAATATGATACAATGCATTACATCACGAGAATTACATGGATAAAAACGGAAGCTGCCCAGCCCAGCACCCACCTTTCTTTCAGCTGCCCCCAGTCGGTGCTGGTACTCCTCCCGTAGGGCTTCTAGTTCCGCGTCATTGTTCTTTTTCGCCTGCCCGGGTGAATAAGAACAGAAGAGAAGGTGGGGGGAAACAGGCACAACGAAGGGGTACAATTTTGATCAATCTTATTAGTACTGGTAACCAAAACAGTATGGAAGGGTGAGGAAGGTAGGAGGACATGTGAAGGGAAAGGCGTGGGTTGGGGGAAAGGGGAGTTGAGGAGGGGGAGAGGACAAAATCTTGACCATTCTTCGAGCCTATTCCGAGCCTCACCTGCCTGCACACATGCTGCAAACCACTTGCCCAGTCTCTCACCTTCCAGTCTTCAAGCTCTGCCCGGAGCTCATCGTTGACAGTCATCGCTTTGGCCAGTTCGTCCGCCTTGGTCTGCCTGCCTGCCCGCATTCTGCAAATCACTTGCCCAGTCGCTCACCTTCCAATCTTCAAGCTCAGCCCGAAGCTCATCATTAACTGTCATCGCCTTTGCCAGTTCGTCCGCCTTGGTCTGTACCTGCCTACCCGCATTCTGCAGGGCGCTCTCCATCGTTGCCAGCTCCATCTTCACTCTCACCACTATAACCAATTCTGCTTGAAACTCACTCTACATGATGACATCTCATTTTTCCTCATGACTCAACTGACTGCTGGAGCATAAACTCGCATGAAGCCCTGCCCCATTCTCACCTTCCAGTCCTCCAGTTCGGCCCGAAGCTCGTCGTTGACAGTCATTGCTCCCGCCAGTTCGTCTGCCTTGGTCTGAGCCTGCTTGCCCGCATTCTGCAGGGCGCTCTCCATCGTCGCTAGCTCCATCTTCACTCTCACCAACTCCGCTTGGAGCTGCATGGAGCTCACTCTACACAACATCTCTTTTTTCCTCGCGACTCAACTGACTGCTGAACTTGCATAAGCCCCACCCCATTCTCACCTTCCAGTCCACCAGTTCGGCACGAAGCTCGTCGTTGACAGTCATAGCCTTTGCCAGTTCGTCCGCCTTGGTCTGAGCCTGCTTGCCTGATTGCACACATTCTGCAAACCACTTGCCCATACCCTCACCTTCCAGTCTTCCAGTTCGGCCCGAAGCTCATCATTCACAGTCATCGCTTTGGCCAGCTCGTCCGCCTTGGTCTGTGCTTGCTTGCCCGCATTCTGCAGGGCGCTCTCCATCGTTGCCAGCTCCATCTTCACTCTCACCAACTCCGCTTGTAGCTCGGACGAGAGAGCCTCTGCCACTGCTGCCGCTGCAGCTGATGATGCCTTCTCTGTGGATAGGGCTTCTGCTGCTGCCACTGCTGCTGCTGCTGTTGCCGTTTCAGCAGACAGCGCTTCTGCTTCTGCTGCTACTGCTGCGACAGTCGCTGCCTGTTCAATGGAAGAACCTTCTTCTGCAGCAGCAGCTTCTGGTGGCGGTTTTTCAGCAGGCACTGCCTCTGCTGCTGCTGCTGCTCCGTCAGAACCTTCACCCTCGTTCGCTCCCCTTGCCTCCGTTGCACCAGCGTCTGAAATATTCTCAGCCACAGACACAGCAGCAGCAGCAGCAGAATCAGTCTCAACCGATGCTGCTGTATCGCTTCCCACCATCTCTGCCACCGCTGCATCCACTAAGGCAACCGCGCCTGCTGCTGCTTCCCCTGCCCCTGCACCTGCTGTGCCTTGTACACCCTCCCCATTGACCACCAGCCCAGGCGCCACCTCCTCCCCAGGAGCATCACCAGCAGAAACCGCCTCTTCCTCAGCCCTACCGCTGCCCACAGCCCATCCATTCCCATCCGTACCAGCTGCACCCGCTTTCTCTGCTGCACCCATTTTCTCAAGTGGACTCACTGGATGCTGCTCGTTCACAATGCCATTTCCAGCAGCAGAGATCCCTTCTTCTCCCCACGCTCCTTCCATTGCTTCTTGAGCTGCAACAGCAGCTGCCGCACTCTCACGGGCGTCAGAAGCAGCAACTGCAGCAGCTTCAGTAGCTTCAGAAGCTTCAGCAGCAGACGCCGGTTTTTCTTCTGACGGCACATCTGCCCCCTCTCCTGCATCTGTCTGCCCTGGGTCTACCTTCCCTAAGCCCACCTCCCCTGCATCTGCCTCCCCCGAATCTGCCTCCGCTTCTACATCAATCTGCGTTACCACTTTCTCCTCCTCTGCCCCTGATTCCTGATTCAAAGACCTTGTTTCCTCTTCACTCGTCTGCACAGCAGCTTCACAGCCGCGTTCGCCTCCTTCAGAAGCAGCAGCACCGCTGTCAACTGCGGGCTCCCTTTCTGCAGCTGCTTCGCCACCTGCTGCTGCCTCGACTTCTGAAGCAGCCCATCTGACTGGTGGTTTGACTGGTGACTTGACTGGCGACTTGACTGGTGACCTAACTGGTGGTGACAGGGAGGGTTTGACAGGGGATGGCGCAGGGGCACCCTCCCCGTCCTCCTCCCCGTCCCCTTCCCCATCATCTATGCTGAAAACGGCCTCTGAGGCTGCTTCGAACCCGCTGAACGGCAGAGGCGTGGACGACGCATTAGCAGCCGCCACAGCAGCTGAGGCACCGTCATCACCTGCCCCAATAGTACCTGCCCCAGCACCAGCATCAACAGCAGCACTGTCTGCAGATACACCCGCAGTAGAACCACCACCTGCAGCGTCATCCCCTGCAGCATCCTCTGATTTCGTAAAGACATCCTTCGATCCAGCATCTGTACCAGAGAAAGCTGCATCTCCCCCGTTTGTTACAATATCTTCCTCTTCAATCACTGCAGCCCACCCCTCCGATTCCTCTGCCACATTCCCTCCCATTCCTGTAACAGCTTCGCCTGCTGCCGAACCTGGTGTAGGTTTGGGCTCTTCCTCGACCTCCGGTTTGGCAGCAGCTTTGGCAGAAACAGCCGTAGCTGCAGCAACAGGCTCGGGGGCAGCGGACGCTGGCTTGTCACCCAGACGAGGACTAGCAGCAACCGTGGCCTGGTTACCAGGTAACACCTCCTCATCTATCGCCCACCCTGCTCCTCCCTCGTCTTCTACCTTCGCTACGTCACCTGCTCTTTCTACAGCACCGCTTGACCCCTCCAGGTTTCCTAAAACTGCTGACGGGGCTATGTGGAGCGCATAGTCAACTCCTGGTATTTCTGCTGCCGCTGGCGCTGTTGCTGCATCTCCTGCTGCGATCACACCTGGTGTAATCAAGGCTGGTGACACAGTTGGTGCAGCCGCAGATGCCATCAAAGCAGCCTCACTTGCTGCTACTGCTGCTGCTTCTCCCGCTGCTACTTCTGCTGCTGCTGCTTCGGTCTCGGCCTGTGGCCTGGTCAGCTTTCCTTTGACGAGCTTCACGATCTTGGTTGGCTTCTTCTCCACCTTCTTCTCTTTCTCCTCCTTTACCACCTGGTCTTTCCCTTCACTGCCACTCCCATCAGCCAAAGCCTCAGCCCCTTCTGATCCGGTTGCAGCAGCAGCAGCAGCATCAGTAGCAGCAGCAGGTGCAGCAGCAGCAGCAGCAGCAGCATCAACAGCAGCGGCAGGTGCAGCAGCAGCAGCAGTACTCTTAGCAGTGGGACGCAGAGGCCGAGTCAGCTTGCTAGCTCCCAGCTTCTTTGCTCCAAGCTTGCTCTCCGGCTTCGCACCTCCACCCACTGCCGCCATCGCCTCTGCTTCCTTTCCCTTAACCGAAACCCCTGCTGCTCCCCCTGCTGCTGAACCTTCCCCTGCTGCTGCTGGTGCAACGCTTCTCGCCAGGGAGCCTTGAGCTGCTTCAGTGACCGGCTTTGGCGATGCTTTTTCGGGTGTTTTGAAGCCCGCTGACGCCTCCTGGGCTTTCTCTTTCGGCGGAACAGCGGCGGGAGCAGTGGCGGCAGGAGCAGAAGCTCGAGCGGTGGCTGTGGAAGGAGAGGGAGCAGTTCGAGCGCCATCTGTGGTTGCTCTGGGCTTGGACGTCTGAGAGGACGAGCTCGCTGCCGGCTTGTCTGAAACGCGAACGGAAGTATGATGTGCGAAACGGGAGGAAAGGAGTGAACCAGAAATGCGTACGAGAATACTTGTCAAGTGCATTAAGCAGAGAAGCATCGGAGGTACAGCTTTTGAAGCCAGAATCAATACGGGCTTAAGACTGAACCATCATGAGCCGACGGCAAGGCGACGCAGTTCTCCGCAACTGCATTTGCGGAAAATGACGATTCGGAGACGAAAGATAAATGCCGTTTTTGCATCGGTCATTAGGCTTAACTCGTCGTAGCACACACCTGCATCCTGAATCAGCTACACTGCGAAGAATTCGAACGCTATTCATTGTCACTCAACTCTAGAATCACCAAAACTGGCGTAAAAAATCCATCCAAACGTGAATGATAAAATCGAAGGCCTTTGTGAATTATATGATCGAAGGCCTGAAAGTCTGGGTAGCCGGGTCCCAACCTTCGATGACGGGAGGGAGGAAGTCGAGCCCCGGTCCGCCGTCTATTCCTGATCCTTGAGTCGACTCATATGAGTCGACTTCTTTTTGAGACGGCTCATTTTTCAGTCGACTAAAAAGTCCTGATAGGGTGGGCTCGAACCTTCGATGACAGGAGGGAGGAAGTCGAGACCCAGTCCGCCGTCGAATCCCGATGTGTCGATGTTCATAACCGTTTCGCTCAGCTTGTTCACCGCTCCCGCAATGTCCGGGAGCTCTCCCAGCCCGAGCGACGTCACCTGCGCCGAGAACCAATCCATGGCTGCTGCTGCAGACAGAGAAAATCCTCGATACTAGCTGACTCGAATACCGGCAAACGATAAGTTCAAGATTTGAACGCTGCTGCAGGGTCTACCGTCTACGGTCTATGGCAGGTCCATCAGCCTCGCGAATCTCCGTAATTTGTCGAGAAAAGGGGGAGTATGCTGGATGCCCTAAAAGTACAAGACGAACTGATCGTTACTGTAAAACGAGCATCGACAAAGTCAAGGGCGAAGATGATAAATGAACGTCCGACTAATCTACCATCCTACCCAGACCCGAAAACTGAGTCAAGGACTGCAAGCATGAAAACGGTCATCGTAATCTGTTGTGATGGTGATTGCGATGGTTGACATGACACTTTCTAGGCTTTCTGGCGACACTTCCAAGGTGGGGAAAATGGAAGCCCAAACGCGGAATGCAAGGGAAATTATGAATTTGACAGGCTTGTTACAGTACAAAGGAGAGGCTAGTAGCGGCACAGATTGACGGATTGGCGGGAAAACGGTCCCTCCAAGGCACGGAAAGGTTATTGGCGATTTCCACTGACAGACGATGTTCGTGGCGCGAAGATACTACAATAACGAAGCTGGATTTCGAGTTAGCATAGTGCGGCAAGAAACCACATCACCATATAATGTGAAAAAAATGTATTTTCAAATATCACAATGCAGATCAAGATTGTTACCTACCGTACCTAGAGAATGGAACATGACATTAGAAAAATAATGCTGGACCATCAATGGCGTGTAAAGCGGCAGAGCCTTGTCAATAGGAGGAAATGAGCAAAACGCAACACAAGCCCAATACTGAGGAGGATGGTCACACACTGCCATTTGTCAAGCTGAGTTAGGCCCAGGTAGAATGCTGCCAGCTCAGGACCGGTCTGAAGACAGGTGGATGTTGACACCTCAGCAAACGGAGAACCAATCAGAGCAGGGCGCAGCGCAACGAGTGACCTTTGAACGTCCACTTCATCGAGCAGAACAGAGAGCGGTGTAGAGGAGTAGATATCACGTGCAGAAAGGTAGCATAGCGAAGTCACCCGGTCAAATTCGTTAAGGGCAAGCGCCTCATAAGCGTATTTCAGGGGAGATATGTAGTGTAGCCAGAGCCAGTAAGAGGGAATGCTGGCTCGCTCTATATAGAAGCCGCAGACGAGGGCAAAGTTGGCCAAAACGGTGATGACCACAGCATAGGCGAGAATGACACTGAGTAGGTATTGGTGGAGGGAAAGAGAGGGAAAACAGGGGGGAAGAAAATGAATTACAGATAAAGAATGATCGCACCAGGCAGGAAACAGGAGGAGATGGAACATACAGAAGCAGGAAAGCAGGTGAGGGGCGAACGGAGGGAGGGAGCAAGGAAGAAATGGAAAGGAGGGAAAATATGAGCACATGTAAAAGAATAAGGTGACACGTACTTGTTGACTGTGGCACTGACGAAGGTGGCAATGGCATTCCCAGTGAAGGGGAAGATTATGGGAAAATGTATAGAAAATAAATTCACGTACTTGTTAACTGTGGCACTGACGAAGGTGGCAATGGCGTTCCCTGTGAAGAGGCAGCAGAAGCACACCAGCACCATAAAGGCCAGCCCTGCCGCCCCCCCGGTGAGACTGAGGCACCACCAGGCCTCTAGAGTGATGGCGAGGGACATGAGAAGGTGCAGAGGCAGGTAGACGAGCGTGGAGGCCAGCAGGTAGGTGGACGGGCGGTACGCGTTGTGCGTCGTCTCCCTCACAAATATGTTGCGCTCCTGAGAGGGAGGGAGGGAGGGAGGGAGGGAGGGAGGGAGGGAGGGAGGGAGGGGCGTAACAGGGTTTGCAAGTAAGCAGGGAGGCGCCACGAGCACCATAAAGGCCAGACCTGCTGCTCCCCCTGTGAGACTGAGGCACCACCAGGCTTCGAGAGTGATGGCGAGGGACATGAGGAGGTGCAGAGGCAGGTAGACGAGCGTGGAGGCGAGCAGGTACGTGGACGGGCGGTACGCGTTGTGCGTCGTCTCCCTCACAAATATGTTGCGCTCCTGAGGGGGACGGGGCTGGGGGGAAAGGGGAAGGGCGCAACAGGGACTGCGGGTAAGCAGGGAGGCACCACGAGCACCATAAAGGCCAGACCTGCTGCCGCCCCTGTGAGACTGAGGCACCACCAGGCTTCCAGGGTGATGGCGAGGGACATGAGGAGGTGCAGCGGCAGGTAGACGAGCGTGGAGGCCAGCAGGTACGTGGACGGGCGGTACGCGTTGTGCGTCGTCTCCCTCACAAATATGTTGCACTCCTGAGAGGGGGAGAGAGGGGTGGGGAGGAGAGGGGGGAGTGGGGTGTGGAGTCAACTCACGCACGAACGAATCCCTTGTGCTCCTGGTTGTTGGAGAATGTGAGAAGAGGCATGACTACTCTGAGTGAGATGGACATCCACAAGTAAAGACCGAGTCAACTGGGTCAACCGAGTCAACTGGGTAAATCGAGTCAACTGGGTCAACGGAGTCAACAGTCAAGACTCACTTGTATGAAGAGGGGAGTTGCATCCCCAGAGGAGAAGAAGAGCGTGCATGTGAGGACAAAGCTGACTTTGAGTCAACTAAGTCAACGGAGTCGATCAACCGTCAAGACTCACTTGTATGAAGAGGGGAGTTGCATCCCCAGAGGAGAAGAAGAGCGTGCATGTGAGGACAAAGCTGACTTTGAGTCAACTAAGTCAACGGAGTCGATCAACCGTCAAGACTCACTTGTATGAAGAGGGGAGTTGCATCCCCAGAGGAGAAGAAGAGCGTGCATGTGAGGACAAAGCTGACTTTGAGTCAACTAAGTAAACGGAGTCGATCAACCAAGACTCACTTGTATGAAGAGGGGAGTTGCATCCCCAGAGGAGAAGAAGAGCGTGCATGTGAGGACAAAGCTGACTTTGAGTCAACTAAGTCAACGGAGTCGATCAACCGTCAAGACTCACTTGTATGAAGAGGGGAGTTGCATCCCCAGAGGAGAAGAAGAGCGTGCATGTGAGGACAAAGCTGACTTTGAGTCAACTAAGTCAACGGAGTCGATCAACCGTCAAGACTCACTTGTATGAAGAGCGGAGTTGCATCACCAGAGGAGAAGAAGAGTGTACATGTGAGGAAGGCAATGAAGGCCAGACGCTCGTGCACTCCGCGTGTGCTGTGGTTGAGGGGAAGTGTGGCAAGGGGGGAGGGAAGAGAAGGCAATAAGGAGGGATAGATGGATAAATGGAAAGAAGGAGGGAGAGAGCGAAAGGAAAACATTAGATTCGACCACACCTTAAGAGTAGGAACCAAGTGGCTGACTCACTTGAAATCTGGCTGCCAGAAGAGCGACGCTATAAGCAGACCCGTTATCATGATAAGCAGCAGGCGCAGCAGGTACAGTGCTGGAGTCCGGCGAATCACAATAGCCGACCGAGCTGTCAGCACCCACAGCTCCCGCCACCAACCATTCGCATACTTGCCCTGCTGCCTCCTACTCCCCTGTCCTTCCCCCTCCACCTTCTCTTCTTCCTCCTCCTCCTGATCCTCTTTCTCATCGACCCTTTGCTGCCCCTGGTCCTCTTGCCCTTTCTGTTCGATGGTTGTACTGCTGCTGGCACTGCTGATGCTTGTGCTGCTACCACTAGAGCTCACAGAGCTCTTGATACTGGAGCTGGTAACCAGTTCCCAAGAAGGAACATCCGACCCACTGTTGCTCCTGCTCTTCTTTCCATCGCCTTCCCTTTGACCAACATCTGCTTCTAGAACCTCTGCTGTTGCTTGAAGGTTGCTCTCCGTTCCCTTTGCTCCTGCTCTTATCGCCTTCGTTCTCACCCACTCCCGGTGAAACTCAGCCAATCGCTGGATGCCAGGTGTACCAGCACCGCCGTTTGCCTGTTGGGCCTCACCATTCACCTTGACCCCACCCTGTGCCTCTACATCATCCTGCTGCTCTCCTCTCTTCAATCTCTCCTGCCCCTCCTGCCCCTCCTGTCCCACATTTCCACATTTTCTCTCCTGTTCCTTTTCAGGGCCTCTCGTCCCTCCCAACCCTCCCCCCCCTCCTTGCCCTCCCTCAATCTCCCCTCCTAGACCTCCCTGCCCTTCCTGCTGCCCTTCCGTCTGTAACAACTGGATCAGATCAAGTGTGAATTCCACTGGGTTGGAAAAGGGCGGTGCCAGACAGCCAAAACCCGTGAGGTAAGCTGGCAGCTCGGACGGGCAGCCCGAAAAAACCGTGTGACCCGATCCGAGAAGGAGGAGGTTGTCCAGGAGATTGAGGACCCTGAAACTGGGCTGGAGGTATAGGGTGCAAACAAGGGAGACGAGGGAGACGAGGGACAAAGGAGTGGGGCGGATAACGTATAAGTAAGTGTGGCGGAGGCGCCACCAGTAACTATCATCGAAATGAGACGTGTTTTGAGTCGACTCAAAACACGAAGGCGTCACCGGTAACTACCATCGAAATGAGGAAGTTGTTACGGAGATTGAGTCCCTGAAGACTGGGCTGAAGGTGGAAGGGAAACGCAAGGGGAGCAAAAAAAAAAGTGACAGCCTCAAAGTGCGTCATTCCATCCTGGTGCTATAGGTGCTATAGGTCTCATTCACCTGGTGTATCACCATGAGAACAATGCTGCCATGCAATCTGGCCACGTCCCTCACTGCCTTGACCATGTGAAAGGCACAGGTGGAGTCGAGACCAACAATCAGCCTCAGGGTCACCTGGTGCCCTACGTCTAGCAGCTGCTGCTCCAAGCCTCACCTGGTGCAGCACCATGAGAACAATGCTGCTCCGCAATCTCGCCACATCCCTCACTGCCTTGACGACGTGAAAGGCACAGGTGGAGTCGAGGCCAGAGGTGGGCTCGTCCAGGAAGAGCAACGAGGGGTCTCCCACCATCTCCACCCCTATCGCCACCCTCTTGCGCTCGCCGCCTGACACACCTCTGAAGGAAGAGGAGAGGAGGACCAACGGAGTGAAAGGGGCCATGGGGGAAAGGGCCATGGGGGACCAGAAACAGGGAGGGAAGGGAGGAAAAAGGTTAGTTGGAGCATGCGTGGAAGGCACAGGTGGAATCGAGGCCAGAGGTGAGCTCGTCCAGGAAGAGCAGAGAGGGGTCTCCCACCATCTCCACCCCTATCGCCACCCTCTTGCACTCGCTGCCTGACACGCCTCTGAAAGGGGGGAAAAGGAGGTGGCGACAACGAAGGGAGAGAACAGCACGTGGTTACTACTAGCAGCAGTGTGGGGGCTCCCACCATCTCCACCCGTATTGCCACCCTCTTGCGCTCGCCGCCAGACACACCCCTGAGGGGAGGAGAGGGTAGATGAGAAGAGGGTTGGAGAAAGTGAGATGTGACATGTGGTCACTCGGACAGGATGTGAAAGCAGCGAAGGGTCTCCCACCATCTCCACCCCTATCGCCACCCTCTTGCCCTCGCCACCTGGCAAGCCCCTGAAGAGAGAAGAGGGACAGATTACAGTGAGTGCGAGAAAGGGATAGAGGGAGCCTCGTTTCACGTACCTCCTGTTTCCATCCCCGATGCGCGAGTCAGCCATTTGAGTGAGACCCAGCAGGCGCATCAGCCCCTCCACCTTCGCCTCCTTGGCCCTCAGCCCCGCCCTGCAATTCCCAAGCCTCAGCTCGGCCGCAAACAGCAGTGTCTCGCGCACTGTGAGTGCGGGGAGCAGCAGATCGTCCTGCATCACACCACACACCCCTGTACGACCTACCTTCTCCTCCCACATGCAATCATGCCTACCGACTCGCGCACTGTGAGCGCGGGGAACAGCAGATCGTCCTGCATCACACCACACACCCCTGTACGACCTACCTTCTCCTCCCACATGCAATCATGCCTACCGACTCGCGCACTGTGAGCGCGGGGAGCAGCAGATCGTCCTGCATCACACCACACACCCCTGTACGACCTACCTTCTCCTCCCACATGCAATCATGCCTACCGACTCGCGCACTGTGAGCGCAGGGAGCAGCAGATCGTCCTGCATCACACCACACACCTTCTGTGCCACCCGTGCCACCCACCTTCTCCTTCCATGCCCTATGACGCCTGCCCTCTCCTCTCAGTTCACGTACCTTCTGTTCTCATCCCCAATGCGTGAATCCGCCACTCGAGAGAGCCCCAGCAGGCGCATCAGCCCCTCCACCTTCTCCTCCTTCACCCTCCGCCCCACCCTGCCATTCCCCAGCCTCAGCTCGGCTGCAAACAGCAGCGTCTCGCGCACTGTGAGCGCCGGGAACAGCAGATCGTCCTGCATCACATAGGCTGACACTCGCTGCATTGTGCTGGCAGTTACAGGAGCTCCGTAAAGAGTTATGGAAGGGGAGAGCGTGGGGGTGGAAGAGGAGAGGGGAGTCACTGGGGCACCGTTTCGAGTAATTGAAGGGGAGAGGGCGGTGGTGGGAGTTGGGAGGGCAGCTATTGAGGGTGGGATGTCAGGAGGCGGAGAGGCGGAGGGTGTAGGAAGGGGTTCTGGTGCAGATGGCATTTGATGTGGTGTGGATGGGAGGGAGATGCGGTGCGAGAGGATGTCTAGAAGAGTTGTTTTGCCGGACCCACTGGCGCCCATGATTGCTGTCACCTGCCCTGCCTTGGCGCTCCCCGATATCCCCTGCAGAATGCTGCGCCGCTGCTGGTGGTGATGGTGCTGCGGCAGCTGCTGCTGCTTGCCAGACTGCTGATTGTGATTGTGTGCAGCGTGACTGCGTCGAGGGGTGTGCGCAGGCGCATCAGTGGGAGCATTTCCAGCAGTGCTGCTGCGAGTAGTGGAGGAGCCGAGAGAGGGAATGACTGGCAGGAAGGCTAGCGGATGGCGCCGGATGGGGACAGAGTAGGAGATGTTCTGGAAGCACAGAGAGGAGGTGGAAGGAGGAGAGGAGCAAAGGGAAGGAAAGAGGAGGGGAGGAGAGAGGAGGCGAGGAGAGAGCCCATTCCCACTAGAAGCTGACACCGGGGATGAAGTGTTGGGAAGTGGAGCGAGTGGAGGAGAGGCAACTGGATCTGGAAGCTCACTGGCTTCCAAAAAGGTTGAAGGAGCGAATTCCACCTTCTCTCTGTTCAGGTCTCGATCAGTAGCCCCCAAGGGGTTGGTGATGATGTGATTGTAGTGAAGCTGTGGAGGAATTTCAGGAGGGATATCGAGCGCATGCTCGGATGGTGTTGGCTCTGCCATGGTGGGATCTTGCTTGATGCTGGAGGCTGAGTGGCTGATTTGCTGAGATACTGCTGGCGGTATTGCAGATGGTACCGCTCGAGCTTTTGCTGATGGGAAGTCAGGATGGTAACACCGCTGATGTTGCTTGTGGTAACACTCCGAAGTCACAGCTGTTTCTCAGAAGGTTCAGGTTCCCAATTGGTGACACAACGGGCTTTCCCCTTTTTTGAAGAGCCTGAAAATGGAGTCTGAATGCTCCTCGAAACGGTGCAGCCTCACAGATGCAGCATGGCGCCAGAAAACTTCTGGTGGAAAGAATTGAGTTGGCTTCTTGCTGTTTCCTCAAACTTTGTGTCGTTGTTTCAATGTGATTCCTGCAGGAACAAGGCGATTGTCAAAACTTTACACTCTCAAGGCGCTTGGCATCAACCAATCTGATTTCACAGCAGCAAGCTATCCTTACCCTTTGCAGAGACTGGCCTATGTAGGATCCGGCAGTGCCAGCATCCAAGGCCCTCTGGTCTTCAGCAATCTGGAAGTATTCACACTGCACCGCACTGCACTGCACTGCACCGCAGGTGGAAAGCTGAAGCGGCCAAAAGAAGGAACAAAAACAAGCTCACTCCAGACAGTTTTCCCTTACAAGACACTGCTCAGGTAGAAATTTGAGGAAATTCTGTGTAGTACAACCTTTCGCTGTACACAAGGCAGTGGTGCTGATAAGAACGAGGCTCGTGAGAAGTCTCGACAAAAGTGTTATCTCGTTCACTTCACTCAATCAGCAGACTCGGTCACTCAATTCACGCCTGCTGATTGAAGAGAAGCTGAATTGATTCGCTTCAAAATGGCCGCTAGCCAGTTATCTCAGGTTGAGACTGATCAATAGCACAGGTCTTGTAAGCGACGTTTCCGCGTCAGATGCGGACATCACCTGTTCTGGACGAGTAAACGCAATTCGCACGTGGAACTCGTCCAGCAATGTTGCTGGTCGGAGCGGGACGTTGACGGAGAATTCCTGGACGTCACTAGTCTAACGTCAACGTCACTTGAAACGGAGCCTGAAACGCATTTCCTGCCACGAAGACCCGGCAATGTCAGTGCCATCTCGGTGCTACCTGGCAGCGATCGAACCATAGCCTGGCGAGTCAACACCACGAGAACGAATGGAGCCATACTTCATCTGCTGTCAGTGATCCTGCCGTGCCTGATAGGGACGGTACAGTATGGCCGTTCAAACTACAGGATGTCATCTCGCACGTGTCAAGGGATACAGTGTCAGAGGATACAGAAACCTAGAGACCATCGAAAGCTTGTGTACTTCTCGAAATATCCGTCGGGATGCTTTTCCGTCGGGATGCCTCTCATGGTACAGTATCTTTGAATTTGACTGACCGTTGTCATGCCGGGGAAATCGACGGTCAGTCGACTTCGACGGAACAACCTCGCCGTGATCGCTGATTCGCTGCTGCTGACTCTCTCTGCTCGACGTCGCTAGCGGCATTACGGATGGTGACAAGCAGCCCAGCGACTCTGCCTGAGAGTTCCGAGCAGAAGCATTCTCCACACCCATGCCATCGGGCTTTCCGAATGCACTGAACCGCTATTGATGGTTCAAATAAATGAGATGGGTCAACATCGTTCCCCGTCCCACACACTGATGTGCAGAATCCTTCAGCGACACCCATGATCCATGTCACCAAGAAATATTGCACTGGGAGGAGGATTGCTCAACGAAGATCTCTAGGGACGTCGCTGTCAAGATCTACAACTGTGCCAGTCGACAAAGCCAATGAGATTCTCTAGGGAAGTATTTTCCGGCAAATCCTACTGGCGCGATACACTTCTCCATTGAAGCTAAGATAAAAAATGTTCGTCCCAACTCCGAAATAGAAAGCAAGATCTTAGTTCCACCTATACTATTATAATATTAGTACCAGTTTTCACAACACCATCATGCACAATAATGTACAGAAAAACAAACGTCCAGAAACATCCACCCTGACATTATCATGGAATGGGTAGTTCTATCAAGGGCAAAAGCGTTATTGAGGAACTTCCTACGGGAAATTGATCAATTCCCCTTCACTTGGCCACAGGGGGCACATACACTGCCACTGGGTTCACGTGCTGTCCCCTTGGTGAGGAGTACTCCACAACATATGACTGCCACATAACCACAAAGAAACAGATGTAAAACGGATCTTGAAGCTTCACACAATTCACATCCCTCTACCCTTAACACTCATCAGCACCAGAACAGGAACATGACAGAAACATCACAGTGAAAGGACGTTCTTGGCCGGCATCAACTTTCCTGACACAAGGCTACCGACAGCTCCGATCGTGCCACATCATCAACAAACAAATCCAAACCCTTCACAGCTTCCGGTCAGACCACTCGACACCAGCACAGAACGCACCCTAAGCGTGTATGTGGACATTATAAACAGACTGAATATGCATAGAGTCACACAGACAACCAAACCCACCTTCAGAAGGGGGGTCTTGGTGTTGTCCTCATAAAGCAGTACGGTCGAGTTATCATCCTCGGGATCAGCACAGCCATAGATAATGGAGGCGAGGCTGAGAATCATCATGGTAACCAGGAAGACAAAGGCGAGCCCGAGAACAACCAGGCCAACAATGTTGGCAACGGTCCACCCAGGGAGAATGGTGGGGAAGGGGTAGAAGTCGTCCACAACCGTCACCACAGCATTGTCGTCTGAGACTGGCGAGAAACAAGAAAAAGTTGTAGTGGGCGGATAGAGATGGGCATAGACACAGGCAGCCAGCGGCACAGGAAAGAAGGTGAGTGGGAAGCAACCAGGCAGACAGGCAGACAGAGGGACAGACACTAGAATGGACAGACACATTGGAGACGAAAGGCATGACAAGGGGTATTAACACAACGACAATGCACGAAGTTCTATGGCCACCAGAACAGAAAAGCAGTAACGGTGCGCCTTCCAGCAGTAAAACACACGCTCCCTTTCTACGCCGCCCCACACACACCCATCCCTCACCTCTCCCCATCCCCTCCTCCTCCCCCCCTCCCTCCCCCCCTGCCCCTCTGCCCTTCTCGCGTCAGAGAAATTTACCTGCGGAGTCATCTTCGTCCAAGGGAACAGCCGTCATGCTGTCAAGCTTGCTAAGATACTCCGTTAAGTCATCATCCACCTGGTCAACGACATCATCCGAACTCCCACCCTCCGAGCTCTCCTCCTCCGAGCTCTCATTTTCCGAGCTCTCCTCCTCGGAGCTCTTACCCTCCGAGCTCTCCTCCTCTTCCTGAGGAGTCTGCGCGTTGCTATGGAACTCCTTCGCGGCCTTTACAAACTCCTGGAACAACTGCAGATGCTTTGAGGACTGATCCTGCGGAGGAATCATTGAGAACAGGTCGTCAAGGTCGAGCTTCTTAGTCCAATCGCGAGAAAGTACAAACGCGTCAAACGCGGACGTCAAAGGATCCGAGCGTTTCGTGGCAGTGGCATCATCCGTTTCCGTCGGGAGACGCTCGTCGGAGGCGGGGTCGGCAGTGACGGCAGCGTCGCTGTCATCTTCAGCCGTCAACATCCTGACGTTTTCCGTTTCGGTATCCTCGGTAACCTTGTCAGAGTCGGGATCGGCAGTGACGGCAGCGTCGCTGTCATCTTCCGCCGTCAACATTCTGACGTTTTCCGTATCGATATCCTCTGTAGCCTCGTCAGAAGTCGTTACTGAGGAGACTTTGGTGACGGTGCTGGAGTCACCGCCCGTGGCAAACGTATCCTCCTCGTCGTTTTCGATAGGGACGGGAGTGGGAATCTCCTCGTCCGAGGATTCGGGAGTCACGTTGGTAACGATGCTGGATTCACCGGCCGTTGCAATCGCATCCTCCTCCTCGTTTTCAATAGGGACGGGAGTCGGAATCTCCTCGTCCGAGGATTCGGTAGACTCGGAAGACTCGGTAGAATCCTCCGTGTCTTCGGGCTTGGCATGGAGCTCGTTGACAATGTCAGAGATAGAGGACGGGAAGCGGTGGACGATCATGCGGGTGACAGATGGGAGTCGGTTCGCGACGACGAACATGATATTTCCGCGGAGATGGAAGCCACCGACATTGCTAGGCTGCCATGTATAACAAAGGACACAATATTTGAAAGAAGAAGAAACACTCATCATGAAGCAAGTAGCAAGAAACACGGTAGACGGGGAAACATACGCAGGAGGAGTGCGGAGAGGGAGAAACGAGACGTGACAGACAGGTATGAATAACAACAGGGGAAAGTGAGGACGGCAACAGGAGAAAGTGAGGACGGCAAACTGGCCGGCAACTAAACTAGATGGCAATAGGCGTGGTGCTGCTGAGTAAAATTCACCTCAAGTTGTGTGAACGCAACGTAGTGGCCACAGTTCTGAAAAATGAAGGGTTATGACACAGAGATACGCCGGTTCAGATGGGATGTCACGGAAACGAGTGCAAGCGGAGAAAGCTATCTCAGAAGCACGTACCTGACCCTGACCCTGGGTTCAAACTGCCCATAAACGAGAGCCACTGAGACGGCCAGCAGAGCGGTAAGGAGTAGAACACGCGCCATAGTACACGAGGGTCGCTCCGATTCTCAGAGCTCGCTGGGAAATACTATCCTGTCCTGTTTCTTGTATCTCTGAAATTTGCGAGTATAATCTCCTGAAGAGCAAACCCTAGCTTCAACAGTCGTTCTGTAAACCTACTCCCTCACGAAACAGACAGCCTTCTGAGCTCCGTCAACTCTTGCCTGACTGACTTGGGTGACTGGAGAGGGTCTCGTCAGTCAATTGCAACCTCCGCACAATCACATGCCCCCCTGTGCAAGAAACGTCATTCAGGGGAAGCGTGCGAAACGATGGCGAAACGAACCAAATTCGCCCAGGTTGCAGTAATAGTCGTGGGTGAGGAAACCCTTTCAAGTGTAAGGTGACGACGACGACCAGCATGGTGATGAGTCACGACGACTACCAGGCATTAAAGCCCAAGACCTGAATTACAAATCAAAAAGGGCAAACTGTGCACAGTTTGCCTTCCGAGCCCAATGAACACCTCCCGAGCCAGTGGGGTTACCAGAAAACGTCGCACCCCACAAAGACCGCGTCGTAGAGCAGAACGCTTCAACTTGGCGAGAGTTCCAACCACCCCTGCTGAAGGAAGAAGGGAACTGCCTGTGCACAGTTTGCCTAGAAATGGTAATTCAGGAATGCCTGTGCGGCTACTAAGCGAGACTCTAAGCTTTTGCCCCTAGCACATTCCCACCTTCAACCCCGATGCAACACGAAATTTAGGAATGCGCTCGTCACAAGCGTAAAATGCTCGAATCCCATATTACGAGACGTCGCGCTAAACAGGATCAAGAGCCGTAGGGAGGAAATCCCCTCACATCGGCCTCCCCCTTGATGCACCGTCACCCTCGTTTCCCCCGTGGTCCCCGTCGCCATTGCCCTCCCATCGTCCTTACCCCTATCCCCTCCCATCGCTTCCTCGTCGTCGTGCCCCATTGCGGCGCTTCGTGCACCACTCCGCGACCACCCACTTTCAGCGTCGTCGTGTCCCCACAACGCCCCGCTATCCTGACAGTCAGGCCCACGATTCCACGCGCGGGAAGCCCGTTTCTCAAGCCCACGTTTCTCCTCCCTGCGCGCGCACCGTTCCGGTAAGCCCGCGCGGGAACCTCTCGCCACCCCGCGCGCGCTCTTCTCGCCTTCCGCGCGATATCCCATCGCATCCCAGCGCGCGCTCCTCTTACCGCCCCGCTCGGCCTCCTCTCACCATCCCGCGCGTGCTCCTCTCGCCTCCCCTCGCGTGCTCCTCTCGCCTTCAATGCTCGCGAATCTCTTGCCTCCCCGCGCGGCCGCCTCTCGCCTCCCCGCGCAGCCTCCTCCCGCCATCCCTCGCGCGCCCCTCTCGCCTCCCCGCGCGTGCTCCTCTCTTCTCACCTACTCGTTCTCCTCTCGCCTCCCCTCTCGCGCCCCTCAAGCCTCCCCGCGCGTGCTCCTCTCTCCTCACCTACTCGTTCTACTCTCGCCTCCCCTCGCGCGCCCCTCAAGCCCCCCCGCGCGTGCTCCTCTCTCCTCACCTACTCGTTCTCCTCTCGCCTCCCCTCGCGCGCCCCTCAAGCCTCCCCGCGCGTGCTCCTCTCTCCTCACCTACTCGTTCTCCTCTCTCTTCACCTTGCATGCCTCCCACGCCTCCCCGCGCGTGCTCCTCACTCCTCACCCTGCGTGCTCCTCTCGCCTCCCCGCGCGTGCCCCTCTCTCCTCACCTCCAATGCTCTTCGATCGCCAACCTTGCGCGTGCCCCTCTCTCCTCACCCTGCGTGGGCTCCCCTCTCCTCACCTTGCGTGCTCCCCTCTCCTCACCTTGCGTGCTCCCTCTCCTCACCTTGCGTGCTCCCCTCTCCTCACCTTGCGTGCTCCCCTCTCCTCACCTTGCGTGCTCCCCTCTCCTCACCTTGCGTGCTCCCCTCTCCTCACCTTGCGTGCTCCCCTCTCCTCACCTTGCGTGCTCCCCTCTCCTCACCTTGCGTGCTCCCTCTCCTCACCTTGCGTGCTCCCCTCTCCTCACCTTGCGTGCTCCCCTCTCCTCACCTTGCGTGCTCCCCTCTCCTCACCTTGCGTGCTCCCTCTCCTCACCTTGCGTGCTCCCCTCTCCTCACCTTGCGTGCTCCCTCTCCTCACCTTGCGTGCTCCCCTCTCCTCACCTTGCGTGCTCCCTCTCCTCACCTTGCGTGCTCCCCTCTCCTCACCTTGCGTGCTCCCCTCTCCTCACCTTGCGTGCTTCCCTCTCCTCACCTTGCGTGCTCCCTCTCCTCACCTTGCGTGCTCCCCTCTCCTCACCTTGCGTGCTCCCCTCTCCTCACCTTGCGTGCTCCCTCTCCTCACCTTGCGTGCTCCCCTCTCCTCACCTTGCGTGCTCCCCTCTCCTCACCTTGCGTGCTCCCCTCTCCTCACCTTGCGTGCTCCCTCTCCTCACCTTGCGTGCTCCCCTCTCCTCACCTTGCGTGCTCCCCTCTCCTCACCTTGCGTGCTCCCCTCTCCTCACCTTGCGTGCTCCCCTCTCCTCACCTTGCGTGCTCCCCTCTCCTCACCTTGCGTGCTCCCCTCTCCTCACCTTGCGTGCTCCCCTCTCCTCACCTTGCGTGCTCCCCTCTCCTCACCTTGCGTGCTCCCCTCTCCTCACCTTGCGTGCTCCCCTCTCCTCACCTTGCGTGCTCCCCTCTCCTCACCTTGCGTGCTCCCCTCTCCTCACCTTGCGTGCTCCCCTCTCCTCACCTTGCGTGCTCCCCTCTCCTCACCTTGCGTGCTCCCCTCTCCTCACCTTGCGTGCTCCCCTCTCCTCACCTTGCGTGCTCCCCTCTCCTCACCTTGCGTGCTCCCCTCTCCTCACCTTGCGTGCTCCCCTCTCCTCACCTTGCGTGCTCCCCTCTCCTCACCTTGCGTGCTCCCCTCTCCTCACCTTGCGTGCTCCCCTCTCCTCACCTTGCGTGCTCCCCTCTCCTCACCTTGCGTGCTCCCCTCTCCTCACCTTGCGTGCTCCCCTCTCCTCACCTTGCGTGCTCCCCTCTCCTCACCTTGCGTGCTCCCTCTCCTCACCTTGCGTGCTCCCCTCTCCTCACCTTGCGTGCTCCCTCTCCTCACCTTGCGTGCTCCCCTCTCCTCACCCTGCGTGGGCTCCCCTCTCCTCACCTTGCGTGCTCCCCTCTCCTCACCTTGCGTGCTCCCTCTCCTCACCTTGCGTGCTCCCCTCTCCTCACCTTGCGTGCTCCCCTCTCCTCACCTTGCGTGCTCCCCTCTCCTCACCTTGCGTGCTCCCTCTCCTCACCTTGCGTGCTCCCCTCTCCTCACCTTGCGTGCTCCCCTCTCCTCACCTTGCGTGCTCCCCTCTCCTCACCTTGCGTGCTCCCCTCTCCTCACCTTGCGTGCTCCCTTCTCCTCACCTTGCGTGCTCCCCTCTCCTCACCTTGCGTGCTCCCTCTCCTCACCTTGCGTTCTCCCTCTCCTCACCTTGCGTGCTCCCCTCTCCTCACCTTGCGTGCTCCCTCTCCTCACCTTGCGTGCTCCCCTCTCCTCACCTTGCGTGCTCCCCTCTCCTCACCTTGCGTGCTCCCCTCTCCTCACCTTGCGTGCTCCCCTCTCCTCACCTTGCGTGCTCCCTCTCCTCACCTTGCGTGCACCCCTCTCCTCACCTTGCGTGCTCCCCTCTCCTCACCTTGCGTGCTCCCCTCTCCTCACCTTGCGTGCTCCCCTCTCCTCACCTTGCGTGCTCCCTTCTCCTCACCTTGCGTTCTCCCCTCTCCTCACCTTGCGTGCTCCCCTCTCCTCACCTTGCGTGCTCCCCTCTCCTCACCTTGCGTGCTCCTCTATCCTCACCTTGCGTGCTCCTCTATCCTCACCTTGCGTGCTCCTCTATCCTCACCTTGCGTGCTCCTCTCTCCTCACCTTGAGGCCTCCTCTCTCCTCACCTTGCGTGCTCCTCTCTCCTCACCTTGCGTGCGCCTCTCTCCTCACAATACATGCGACCATACTGGATTAAAGGGAGGGACTGTCTCCTTGCGACGCTTCGTGAAATGGCTCCGCTACCACCCACTTTCGACGTATGCGGGTCCCTACCACTTCCCACTATCCTGACAGGGGCGCCCACGTTTCCTCACTCGGGAATCCCGTGCACACGCACACGTTTCTCCTCCCAGCGCGCGCACCTGCCTGGTAAGCCCGCGCGAGATCCTCTCGCCTCCCGCGTGCGCTCTTCTCGCCACTCGCGCGGCATCCTATCGCCCCCCCGCACGCGCTCCTCTTGCCTCCCCGCGCGTCCTCCTCTCACCATCCCTAGCGTGCTCCTCTCGCCTCCCCTCACGTGCTCCTCTCTCCACACCATGCGTGCACCTCTTTCCTGTACCTCGCGTCCTCCTCTCTCCTCACCTCGCGTCCTCCTCTCTCCTCACCTCGCGTCCTCCCCTCTCCTCACCTTGCGTGCTCCTCTCTCCTCACCTCACGTCCTCCTCTCTCCTCACCTCACGTCCTCCTCTCTCCTCACCTCGCGTCCTCCTCTCTCCTCA